AGAACTCATTGTATTTTATTCACTGTTGTACTATAGCTACCTTTGCTGTTTTTCAGTTATTTAGAGGAGCTAGAAGGTTTATTTTCTAAAAGGATACAGATAGTATTTAATAATGAAAAGAAAGTTTCTTTTCTACCACTTGTCCATCTGCATTTCCTCTCAAGAAGCATCTTTTTTTTTTCTTTCCTATATAATTATTGTTTTACTGACATTTAATGAGCATTAAGTGGTAACAATAAAGTTAGGAAATTAAGACTTGCATTTGAATTTCAGTTTCATAAGTCACTGAAGTGATTTAAAGAAGTCTGGCTGCTCTTCTAGAGGTTCTGGGTTCAATTCCCAGTAACCACATGGTGACTCACAACCATCTCTCGTGGGAGCCTATGCCCTCTTCTGGCTTGCAGGCATATGTGCAGACTGAGCACTCACATATGTAAAATACATAAATAGGTAAATTTGATTGGTAAAGCACTTTCCATGCAGGTCTGGGGGACTAAGTTCTGTCCCTAGCACCGCGTCAAAAGCAGGTCTAGGGTGAGTGTCTGTAATCTTAGCATTGGAGGGATGGAGATAGTTGGGTCCCTGGGTGTTTGTCCCAACCAGTGTTGCTAAATGATTGAGTTCTAAGTTCAGGGAGAGACCTTACCCCAAAACTAAGGTGGAGAGTGACTGAGAAAAGACATGCAGTATTGATCTCTGGCCTCTACATGCAGAAGTACACAGAATTACACAAACCTGTAAACGTATGAACACATATGCATATATGCGTGTACAAAAGAGTATATGTAGTTTTTTTGTTTGTTTGTTTTTGCTCTTTGGTGCTTGAGGGCCCACCACCCTGCTCCCACACAGAGACTTAGTTTTACTTATGAATACATGGCTTTAGCTTGGCTTGTTTTTAGCAAGCTTTTCTTTTTTTTCAAAACAGGGTTTCTCTGTGTGGCTTTGGAGCCTGCCTTGGAACTTGCTCTGTAGACCAGGCTGGCCTTGAACTCACAGAGATCCACCTGTCTGTGCCTCCTGAATGCTGGGATTAAAAGCCAGTTTTTCTTAAATTATCTCATCTTCCTTTTGCCTCTGGGCTTTTATCTTTCTCTATTCTGTTTACCTTTCTTTTACTCTGTGGCTGGCTGGGTAGCTGGCCCCAGACATTCTCCTCTCATTTTCTCCCTCCTTCTCTTTATCTTATTTATTCTCTCTGCCTGCCAGGCCTGCCTATTTCTTTCTCTCCTGCCTAGCTATTGGCCATTTAGCTCTATTAGGCCAATCAGGTGTTTTTGACAGGCAAACAGCGTTAAACAAATGCAACATAAAAGAACACAACATATCTTTGCATCATTAGACACATATTCCACAGCATAAAAGAATGTGACACATCTTTAATATTCCACAACAGTATATCTTCAGCTGCTTTTAAACATGCACAATTGCAGTCCTAGGGCAGAAGACTTTGAGATCAGCCTGGCCTAAACAGAGAGACCCTGTCCTACCCTTCCACACTCCAAATGTCTGCCTTAAAGATTGTTCTGTGTTTTTGTTTGTTCATTTAAATAATACAAGACCTAAAGCAACATCTTTTACAATTTTTAAATATGAAGGCAAAAAGAATAAGAATAATGTATGGGTAAAATGAGTTTTTCAATACAGTACATGCAAATGTTTTGCTTGATTATGGGAAAATAAAATTATTATATATAATTAACAAATTACATAAAATCAAATAGGTGTGGAAAGCATTGATCCCCAGCTTTATGGTTACTGTTAGTATTCAGGCATCTGTGCTGGCCTATCCTTGGGGTTCTGATAGGATGCAGCCTCAGCTGTAGCCACTAAGAGCACCATCTGTGCACTATGCTCCCTTTAAAAGGGCCCTGCCTCTCTCCCTCTCTCTCCCTCCCTCTCCCACTTCTTCTTCTTTCCTGCTGCTCCCTGAGGCTTCTCTCCCTTTTTTTAAATGATCCTTTTCTTCTAATAAAAAAAAAAAAAAAAAAAAAAAAACCCTCTGCTTGAACCCTGTTGCATGGCGTCTTTCTCTTGCACACTGCTTTTCTTTTCTTTTTTAATTTAAATATATTTTAATATTCTTACATATTGATCCCAGTTCCCTCTCCCTCCCTCCTATATCCCCTCCCATTCCATTCCCCACCCCCACTCCACAGGGAAGGTGAGACCTTCCAGGAGGGCTCAACAAAATTTGTAAACTCATTTGGAGTAGGGTCTAGGCCCTCCCTCCTGCCTCTAGGTTAAGGGGGTATCCCTCCATGGGGAATGTGTTCCCAAAGTCATTCTGTGCACCAGGGGTACATCCTGGTTCCACTGTCAGAGGTCCTTTAGAATGCCCAGGACTTCTAACTGAGATCCATGTTCAGGGGGTCTGAGTCAGTCTAATGCTGGTTTCCCAGCTATCATTCTGGGGTTCCATGAGCTCCCCCTTGTTCAGGTCAGCTGTTTCTGTGGGTTGTAGCCTGGTCTTGACCCCTTTTCTTATCACTCCTCCCCCTCTGCAACTGGATTCCAGGAGTTTGGCTCAGTGTTTAGCTGTGGATGTCTGCTTCTGTTTCCATCAGCTACTAGATGAGGGCTCTATGATGGCGTATAAGTTAGTTATCAATCTCATTATCAGGGAAGGGCATTTAAGGTAGCCTTTTGCTGAGATTGTTAGTTGGGGTCATCCTTGTAGGTCTCTGGACATTTCTCTAGAGTCAGTTTTCTCTTCAAACCTATAATGGCTCCCTCTATTTTGGGATCCCTTGTTTTTGCTCTCCTCTATTTGACCCCCTACCCAATCTTCCTGGTCCCATATGTTCTCCTCTCCTCCCCTTCTCTTTCTCCTAACTCTTTCTCCACTCACCCCTCTCCCCCACCCCACACACACTCCCAATATGCTCAGTAGATCTTCCCTTTCCCCTTCTGTGAGGGAGCTTGTATGAATCTCTTAGATTCCTCCTTGTATCCTAGTTTCTCTGGCAGTGTGAATTATAGGCTGGTGATCCTTTGCTTTATGTCTAAAATTACAACAGTTATCATTTCAAATGTGAAGCCCTCAGCACAATTAATTTGCAGCCTTTAAAACTAGGCAAGTGCTAGAGATCATTTTGAATAAGACAGGCAAGATGACCAAGACCGCAGAGATTCACAGCAACCACTGTCAGATACAGGGTTGGTGAAGATCTTTTCCCATTCTGTAGGCTGCTGTTTTGTCTTACTGATTGTGTCCTTTGCCTTACAGAAGCTTTTCAGTTTCAGGAGGTCCCAGTTATTAATTGTCCATCTCAGTGCCTGTGCTACTAGTGTTCTGTTCAGGAAGTTGTCTCCTGTGCCAATGTGTTCAAGGCTACTCCCCACTTCATCTTCTATCAGGTTCAGTGTGGTTGGTTTTATGCTGAGTCTTTGATCCATTTAGATTTGAGTTTTATGCAGGTTGATAGATAAGGATCTGTTTTCATTCTTCCACATGCTGACATCCAACATTGTATTTTTTTTTAAAAAACAGTGTATGATTAAATAGTGGGCAGTATAATATTTAAAACCATACTTAATTGCATTAAATTAAGACTAAGTTCTAGAAAAATTACAAAACACAAATCTGTCATTTTGAGACAGAGAATATCAAAGATTGTAAACAAATTGATGTGCACATCACCCCAGTCTTAGTACATGTATTGCTGAAGCAGGTGCTGTGTTCGGATCACAGCACTTTTTGAGTGTTTCATTTCATTTGATATATTAAATTGCCAGGGATAAATTTCAGTGAATAAATTATTTTGATAATTGATATGATTTTGTGAAAATCTGGGAGTATCGAAGCTCACATAAATGAGATTATATGTAAGTATAAAAGAGTATGAAAAGGGGTTTCCCACCTAGCTTTAGTTGCTATTACCTTATAAGGTGCAAGTGTTTGCCTATGACATATGAACTGTCTTGTATAACTAGGTACACATGAGAGGAATATAATTTGTATGTATCTTCAGTGCTGAATATAAAAATCACTAAGTCATCTAAAAATAGGAGTTATGCTGGATGTGGTGGTGTATGCCCATAACCTCAGTTAGGAGGCAGATTATCTTGCCTTTCCAGGCTAGCCTGGGCTCCATAGTATGACATAGTCTCAAAAAACAAAATAAAAAACTGAACTGTTACATATCAGAAGTCTTAAACATGTAAGAAGATAAAGAAGATATTAATTCAGTGCTATTTTTGGATAGTAAGATGAGAGTAATTTAGAATTTTTGGGTGTACTTTATATAAGCAACACCATGTTTTTCCCTTGATTTTATTTATGTGTGCCCCTGCTTGTTTGTATGTGAAATAGATGGATATATGCAGTACTTGCAGAGGCCAGAAGAGAGTGTTAAATCTCTCAGACTGTAGTTACACACGGGTGTGAGCCACTCCGTATGGGTAGTAAGAATGAGTGTAGGGCCTCTGCAAGACCAGCATACTTCACTGAGCCCATTTCTTACTTTCTTATAGTTTTACACACTTTTAAATTTGTTTTCTCTGTTCTGAGAAGGGCTCCACTAACCTGGACTGACTTCTCACAGGGAAAGGGGAAGAATGTGGCTATGGTTGAATTATTTTGAAGGCGAGCATTTCAACCATAAATCCATCTCTGCATGAGCAGACACTAACCGTTTTTGTGGTTATTACATGTGTCATTAAGCTTTGCTTTCTTTGGCCTTTATACTTGCAAATGTTATGCTTCCCTCAAATCGGAATAGTTCAGGTAAAATATAAATGGAAATGACACAGACTGTTGAGAAGGTTCATGTTTTGTAGAAGCTAGGGGTGTTTTCACAAGGCTCATTCCCCACCCCCAATACTGAGTCTGTTGTTTCCTGGCCTGTGCTGAAAGTGTCACTAGGAGACACTACTGTTTTCTGTTCCTTGTCATCGGCCAGACCTTCTTGCAGAGTTTGTGCTGATTCCATGCCTTACATGTCTTAATCAAATGTTTCCCGAGAGCTAATACTCTCTCTGTAATATGTTCTTTCTAGACATAAAGACCTGAGGTGGCCTTTCTTGTCTAAAGATGGAAAACAGTACCACCACCATTTCTCGGGAGGAGCTTGAGGAGCTCCAAGAAGCATTTAATAAGATAGGTAAGTTCCAGGAAGCCTAACTGTGGGGTTCCAGTTCTGTTTGCTGCCAGACGTCAGACTTGGAACCACACCTATGACCTCCGCTGCCACTCAGCTATCCTCAAGGGCATTCCTTTCTTTTCTTTTTTAAAACCAGGGTTTTAGTGCATTTTTTTCTGAAAGATAAGCTAGAGATGAGCTGGCGTTTCTAGGTGGGTTGGACTTTAGTTCTTGGTCATTCCCGAGCAGAGGATAATCCAGGTTAATGAATGATGGCGCAACTGAATACACTTTCCATGGTACCCTCATCACAGAGAAGAAAATACAGAAACACTTCCTTGTGTACAAACTGAACTCTGCCCATATGTCTTTGTCACTAACAACAGTACTTTCTACCTTAATGCAGAACATTTAAAAATACAGCTTTGTTTTTAAAAGCCCAATGTCTCATTTTCCCTCCTATGCGTAAGTTTTAAAAAGCTCAGTATGTTCCCAAAGACCGACTGCCTCCATTTTCTTCTTCCCCTCTCTGAAATCATCCCGTGTTTTGTCTTTGATGTTATTAGCTTAGCAGCTTTGTGCTGTTCTCTTCTAAAAACACTTCTCGATGTCTGTGGGATCTCAGTGTCACACTTTCCTCTTTGAAAACTCCAGTGGAAAAGGAGAATTTCAACACGCCTTTTATTTCCTTCCTTCCTTCCTTCCTTCCTTGCTTCCTTCCTTCCTTCCTTCCTCATCTTCTCTCTTCTCTCTCTCTCTCTCTCTCTCTCTCTCTCTCTCTCTCTCGCTTTTGGATTTTTTGCTTTAGTTTGTAAATATATTCAAGTAAAACTTGACCTCTGTGAAAGCAGAGCTCAGTGTTTCCCCTGTCCTCAGCAAACCTCTTGGGTAAGGAAGCTCTGCATGAAAAACAAGTCAGGTGGTGGGGCGGGGCTGTCATCATGCTCATGGGTGCTCATGAGTGTTCTCACTCTTGGATTTCTCACCAGCCTCCCGAACCATGACTAAAATTCTTATAGAGTAAACCTTAGAATACATAATAATGGTTGTTAAAAATATAGCTTAGCTTGCCTTCAGAAAGGGATTCGCGCATCGTTGGTGTGTAAATGAGCACTTCTAAAAAAATCTATGCCTTGCTCTTCTGCTTGGGGATGGAGGTGGAATCACCCCCATTGGTCACTGTAACACTGCATGCATATGGCGTGATTTGCAGAAGACTATTAGCAATAAATGTTTTAGAATATTGTCTGTACTGCTCAGAGAAGCCAAGAATTGGGCGGTATTGAATGCTCATTCTTATTTTAGGCATCCAAAACCAGCCAATAAAAGTGGACCTGCCAGTTTGGCATTGCAGTCATTTTATAGGTGCCTTTTAATGAAAGAGATTCTTCCTGGGTCTCAGTAAAATGAGTTAGTAATCTATTTTCTTTGTCAAGCATGCCAACTTTAATCTTTCTGACTCATGGAAAATAATTCTGCAATATTTAATTAATGGTATTTTGAGTAGGCAATCCACTGATGAAATAAAACTTTGACAGCAAGAGAGTTTGCACTGTGAGAGAGCACTAGCAGAGTATGTACTCACTGACTTTTTACAAGATAAACTGTGATTCATGAACTCAGCAAGGACAAACAACCCTTTAGTGAACACACCTATTCAGCCTTACCGGAGGGAGGATTTTGAGATCACTGGGGGAAAGCAGGAAGTTAAAAATACCTATCTGTCCTGTTTTCTCTTTAAAATTGGGTTAAAACACCACAGAGCATTTTGACCATCATGAGGGTACCGTTCAGTGGGATCACGTACCACCTTCTATTCAGCACCACCTTCTTTTTCCAGCAGTCCCTTTCATTGTGCCACACCAAAAACTCCACATCTGTTAACAGCAGCTTCCACGTCCCTCTCCTCCAGTCTCCGGAGACCACCACTCCCCCCTTCTGTCTAAATTTTCCTCTTCTAAGTACTGTGCGTAAATACAATCATGCTCTATCTGTGACTTCATGACTGCTTTCTCACTCAGCGTGAGCTAATGCTTTTATGATGTAGCATATGTCACAACCATCTTCCTTTGAAAGCCTGAATAATATTCTGTTGTGTGTGTAAACAGCAGCATTTTGCTTGCCAGTGCTTTCATTGATAGCCATCTGGGTTTTCTGGTTGTTTTGAATCGCATTGCTGTGAACACAGGTGCACACATATTTGCTCAGGTCCCACCATCAGTTCTGGTGTACTCCACATGCAGACTTACAGGGGCACCTTGCAGTCCCCCATTTAATTGTGTGGCGCACAGCTGACTGCTTTCATTGTGGGTGTGGCAGTTTTTATCCCCACCAACACGACACGAGTGTTCTCATCTCTGTTCATCTTCACCGGTACTTCTCTGTTGTTGTTTTATAGCAGGGTTACTAGCAGTATCTTGTTGTGGTTTTGCATTTCCCAAATAAGTACAGATGTTGAAATGTTTTTATGGTGACTTATATGCTTTCTCCAGAGAAATGTATATTCAAGCCCTTTGCTTATCTCAAGGTGTAGTCTTGTGTTTCCCACTAATGATTTCAGTCTGGGGCCTTATGCTAAGGTCTTTGCTCTGTTTTGAATTGAGTTTTGTTCAGGGTGCATGAGAATGAATCCACATTTTTTTTTTTTCTTTTTAATGTGGTGATGCCATTTTTCCCAGCAGGATCGTCTCTCCATATTTTTTTTTTTTTTTTTTTTTTTTTTTGTCAAAGATTGGATGACTATAGATGTATGAGTTTATTTTTGGGACCTATATTTCATTTTATTGGTCTGTTTTGTCTGTTTTGTGCCAGTACCATGCTGTTTTTGTTGCTATGGCTCTGTAGTCTAGTTTGGGATGCTATAAGGCATCCAGCATTGACCCTTCTATTTAGGGTTGATTTGGATATTAAGAGTCTTTGCTGTTCCCATATGAATTTTAAGATTTTTTTTTCTGGTTCTGTGAAGAATTTCCTTGGATTCTGATAGAGGTTGCATTGAGTATGTGGATTATTTTTAATAAATCAGTCATTTTTATAATATTAATCCTGCCATCCGTCTCTCCACCATCTAGTGTCTCCAGACTTGTTTTTTCATTGTTTCAAAGCTTTCATTATGGAGGTCTTTTGTCTCCTTACTTAGGTTTATTCCTAGGGTTTTGTTTCTGTTTTTAAAGCTGTTATGAGATAACCACTAGGTACATTTGGTCTATGGTGTAGGTTCACTCTGACTTTTTTTTTGTTGATTTTTGTTCAGATGATGTGCCTAAAGATGAATGGGGGTGTTAAGTCTCCTACTGTTATTGTATCAAGGCCTAATTGACTTGTTCTAGTGTTAGTGTCTGTGTTATGAAACTGGGAACCCCAGCATTCTATCTGTCTGTCTGTCTGTCCGTCCATCCATCCATCCATCCATCCATCTATGACTACATTCTTTTTCTCTTCTGAGTAACTTGGTTTGAAATCTACTTTATCAGATATTGAAGTAGCTATAGCTATGCCAGCTTGTATTTGATTGCTTCTGTGTTTGGTAGGTTGACGTCATCTTTTTTTAACTAATTAATTCATTAATTAATTAATTTTTAAAATTTTGCATGTTGGTCCCAGTCATGGTCATGGTCAGGGCACATGTGAGGGGGGGGGAGAGGGTAAGAGGGAGGGAGGAAAGGAGGGAGGGAGGGAACTGAGATTGACATCATCTTTTGTCTGTCTACCTGTCTGTGGATACTTTTTTGCCAGTGAGCTATGATCTTTGGAAATAGCAAATGATTGGATCTTATTTTTTAATACACACACACACACAGAGAGAGAGAGAGAGAGAGAGAGAGAGAGAGAGAGAGAGAGAGAGAGAGAGAGAGAGAAGAAGAGAGAAGAGAGAGAGAGAGAGAGAGAGAGAGAGAGAGAGAGAGAGAGAGAGAGAGAGAGAAGGGTCATTCTCTCTCCTTCGTCCCATTTGTTAATGTTTGACTATATAGTACTGTATCGACACTGTTATCCCCAGTTTTCTTCTGTTGGTTGAGTCTGTTGACAATGGGTGCTTTCCACTGTATTTTTATTTGATTCATGAAGTGTTATGGTTCAGAACTTCTGTTTATTTGGTGTCCCCCAACCGTTAATATTTTTGCTTTCTTTTCCTTGTTTCTGACATTTTAATCCAGTGGTTGATTTACTCATGGTCGATTAGCTTGGTTCTCAGTGTTGCTGTACTCTGGACTGACTCACTCCTTCCATCACCTGCTTGTTTATAATACTATTTGAGGTCAACGATCATTTTTATTAGTGAACTTAGGAGATCTTCATCCAGCATTACCTTATTTCAGTACCTTTGCATTCAGTAGTTGGGGAGTTATGACCTTTTGGGGAAGCCATGTTGTCTTGCTTTTTTATGTTTCTTTGTTGCTATGACACATGTGATAGTTTGAATATCTGTTCTCCTTTCTATTTGGGAATAATTTTTACTGAGTATCTTACTCCCAAGGGCTCATTCTCCAGTACTAGTCAGAGAAACTAATGTAGAGCATTGGGTGAAATTTAAAAAAACAAAAACTGTTTAAATGTGGAAACAATGTTACAGAGGGGAAGAGAAATGTGCAAAATGTAACAGTAAAGTACAATGAAAGAGGGTGGGGGAGTTGGGGGGCATTAGGGAAGGGGTGTGTGCTGGTACTCAGCTCTCATTCTCCTTTTATTCAGGTGGGACCTCAGTTTCTGGGCTGGGGCTGGCCACAGTTGGGATAGGTATTTCCTTTTCAGTTAAACCTTTACAGAAACACCTTCTAGACATACCCAGTGGTTCTGAATCTTCTCAGGTTGACACAAAGATGTGATTATGTGATGTAATGGTTAGCACTCTGGACTCTAAAAACTTAGCCATCAGAGATCCTGCAGGAAGTGACTCCTTGATGTGTTGCCAACTGTGCAGATTTGTTTTATATTATCTTTGTTCTGAGTCCAGAAGTGTTCCCAGTTTCCAGGGAACCCTGCAACCTGCCTAAGGCTATCTTGAACATCTAATCTCAAAATGTCATCAAACATGATTAAACATACATAATGATATGGTAATACATAACAAGCAATAAACGATAAATAAATAAACTGTCACCAGAAATAAAATATAAAGAAAAATGGCTGCGTATCTTTTCGGAGTAGAGCTCTGTTGATTACATATGTTTTATATGCCGCAGATAGATAAGTGTATAAGGAATATGGGGCCAGTAGATCCATTTTATAAATTTATCAGCATAAAATCTGATTGATTATTCCATCTTGACCTTGACTGATACTTTTCTTTTCATGTATATGTGACACTTCCCCAGGCTTATTTCTCTGAAATGTAGTCATTTGTTGAAATGGATTTTTCTGTAAATCCAAATAAATGTCTTCTTCTGTAAGTGGTCTTGGCCATTGTGTCTATCACAGCAATAGAGAAGCAACTAATCCATATGCACCCTGTATTGCTCAGGTGTAGGAAGAAAGGCTACTACCACTTATGAAACGAATTTTTAGAGCTCTGGATTTCCTGCATCTGACAGTTTACCATACATCTTTGCAGATATCGACAACAGTGGATATGTTAGTGACTATGAACTTCAGGATTTGTTTAAGGAGGCAAGCCTTCCTCTTCCTGGGTACAAAGTGCGCGAGATTGTGGAGAAAATTTTCGTGTTTACGGACAGCAACAAAGATGGCAAAATCAGTTTTGAAGAATTTGTCTCAGTAAGTAATCCAGTACTCTGCTACGTTGTTGATCATTGTTGCAAGTAGAATTTCAATAATGCTGTTGTTAGTTTTATTTTGACTTGGATGCAGACAGAGTTCAGACAAAACACTGGTTTTAAAAATGATGGTGATGGGGACTGGGAAGATGGCTCAGGGATTAAGAGCTCTTCCAGAGGTTTTGAGTTCAATTCCCTGCACTCCCATGGCAGCTCACATCTGTCTTTAACTCAAGTTTCAGGGGACCCAACACTAATGGCAAAAATACCAATGCACATAAAAATAAAAAGTAAAAGAATAATGTAAAGTGTTTAAAAAAGAAATAATGTTCTTAAAAAATAAAATGATGCTAATAACAGATATTACTGTGAAAATCATTTCCATAAATCACAGAGCAAAGCACATTGAATGGAAATCCGGTTCAGATAATAATCATTTATGCCCTAGAATTACTGTACTTAATTTGAGTATTATTGTCCATTAGCGTAATTGGATAAGTCTTTGTAAAATATACATTTTCTAGTTGTATATTCTTTATTAAATATGTGAGCTCTGGGCATTGTGAATAATGTGATGAGCAGAAAGAGATTGGTCCTTGCTTTTATGGTATGTACAGGTGGGGAAGGCCAGCTATGGTGAGAGCTGTGGTAGAACAGCACGGGTTCCATGAGCATTTAGGATGGATGGAGTTGAACTTGAAGGGGAGACTGGAGGACCCAGGGACTCAGGGAAGTGTCCTTCAGTTTGTGAAGATGAGCTGACATCTGAAGAAACAAGTTAAATAAGGAAGGGGAGGGTGCAAATAATGTGAGAAGCAGGGTAGAAATGGCAGTGTGTCCTGAGACCTTGTGGTATTAGAGATGCTGGGTCTCTCAAGCAGTCTACAAGATGATTAGTGTGGCTAGAGCTGATAAGGTAAGAAATGTAGCTGGAGACGGTAAGCACGAATCTGGTCTTGTAGGGCCATTTAGGATCTTTGTTTTTATCCTTCTGCAACAGGAAGTCACTGAAGTGGGAAGAATAAAGTGATATTAGATTTGCATAAAAAACTCATCACTGGTATTGCATGGAGAAATTATTTAATTTAGCTTTGCTGGTCTTTGTAGAGCCCAGTGAATAACTGGGAGAAGGAGTTTCTGTAAGCCTCTAGTATTTCCTACAAATGCTGACTTACTTACATGAGCATGTATTTATACTCAGGATGCTCAGACAGGAGGTCTGCCTCCATTAAAGTATCTTAAAATCACTATCATGTACTGATTTCTTGAGATGTAATATAAAAGACCTTCGCTGGTCAATAATATTTTCAGTGTGTTCAGTTTCAGCTCAGTTGTAACATGTTCCCATTGTTGGGTTACAAACATTAGTCCATTTTTGTATAAGTGATAAAATAGCAGAATTGTCTGTTTACACAAGTGTTAAGTATTAGGACACCCAATTCATATTTATGTTGGTGTCATTTTAAATAAATGCAAGCATTGAATGTCCTTCATGTTATTAGAATGTCTCAATTTTACTTATATTCCATTCCAGCTAATGCAAGAGTTAAAAAGCAAAGATATCAGCAAAACATTCCGGAAGATAATTAACAAAAGGGAAGGGATTACTGCTATTGGGGGAACTTCATCTATTTCCAGCGAGGGTACACAGCATTCCTACTCAGGTAATTGAATTTGGCCTTTTAATCACTGATTCATTTAGTACATGTCACATGTCATCCAGTCTAAGCTGCTGTTGTGATTCATACCATTATTTTATATACAGTGGAGGGAGAAAAAAAAGCTGCAGATGTATTACACTGTGACATCAGATTTAAATAAATCTCAAGTTTAGCATTGCCAATATGACAAACACCAGAATTACTGAAAAGCTCTGTGTTCCTACTTTATGTCAAATCAAAAGTACTGAAAACGAAACAGATGCTGTTTGTATTTCAGTTCTGGATGGGTTTAATTATGATGTCTGGCATAGTTGTAAAGGATTTTAGGGAGTGATCTCTGAGGATCAAATCTAGTGCCTTGTGCATACTTGGGAAGTACTGTACCGCTTAGCTGTACCAAGCTTTCTTCACCACTTTTGAGTGCGTTTCTAATCATGACGGCAGTCTTGACTTGTAGAGCTGATCTAGGAACAATGGAGAGGCTTATTATAAGCATTTTTTCCCATCTGTTTTCCAAGAGTGGAGATACTTGATTCTGCTTTTGATCCAGCAACTGAATAGAGGGTATGTTGCCTGATGTGTCCATTCTGATAGGATCACTGGGTCTTTTGCTCTTTATGAAAGCCAAAGTAATATTAATAATTTTAATAAGCCTTTTGCATATTAGGCAAGAGCTTTGCTCCAGAAACACATCAACTCGTGTGTGTGTGTGTGTGTGTGTGTGTGTGTGTGCGTGTGTGCGCGCGCATGCACGCACGCTCATATGTTTATATTAGTCCTGGGTTTCACTGTGACCTTTCCATCCACATGTATAATATATTTGGACCATATTGTTCCTCTCCCACTCTCATTGGCCACCTTCTTCCCAGTCCTAACTCAATACTTGTATAAGCCCCAGATCAGATCACAACAGTATTAATTTGTTTTAAGGGATGGAGTTTATTTCCATGAATTTTTTCTTACCCTTTTCTCTGATTTAAACATTCTATATGTAAGTGTGTGTGTTTGACCTCTTGTATGTCTCTAATTCATGTGATTTTAGAAACAGTTCGCATTTGGAAAGATTTTTTTTTTTTTTGAAACATCAAGCCATATGTATTTTATACGAACTTAAGGTGCATGTCTTCCCTTCTAATATGTTGAGTGAAAGTGCAATGACTCCCTCTTCCTTCATATATTACATCATTGAGAGTGTCTCAGTAGTGTTTTAATGGTGTTAGCTTGATAGTTTTTAATAGAAACGAGCAAGTACGTTCTTGTAGTGTGGTAAATGCTGTGAAGTTAAGTTTGCCAACTGAGATTTTCTGTTTTCAGATGAAGAAAAAGTAGCTTTTGTCAACTGGATAAACAAAGCTCTAGAGAATGACCCAGACTGTAGCCATCTTCTGCCCATGAACCCCAGTGATGACAGCCTGTTCAAATCGCTTGCAGATGGCATCCTTCTTTGGTGAGTTGAACATCTGCTCATAGGAGCTTCGTGCTTTCACATTCCTGAACACCGCAACTGGATGATCCTTTTTCTTTTGACTTAGTCATGATTGCCTAGAAATTTGAGTACCATATACTTTTCAGAGCTTCCCTTGTAATATACTATTTTATTTTATGGTGCCTTTTGTGTCTGTTGCCATGATCCTGCCAGGAAGTGTCTGAATCCTTCAATGCATTGCAAAATGGTGATGTAGTTTTTCTTTTCACTTCCCCAGAGAAGAGTACTTACTGGTGGGGGCAGGAGCCCGAGGAAACTTAGGAGGAAGATACTTCTTCATTAAGCCTAAATGAAGCAGTGTTCTTTTTTTCTGCCTTGTCTACACTGTAAACTTTCTAAGAGAGTGCATTTATCTTTGCATGTCTATCACATGTGTATAGTCACAGCACATGTTTTCTTTTGCGTGTGTATTTTGCTTGCATGAGTGTGTGCCCATGCTTGGTGCTTGCAGAGGTCAGAAGAAGATATCAGATTGTTATGAGTATGTTTTCCCGCTAGCCTGGTCCCACAGCTGCGCCAGCCCCAAATAACACACAGAGACGCTATATTAGATATAATGCTGTTGGCCATTTACTAGTTTCTTATCCACTAACTCTGTCTTAAATATTTCTATTTATTTCTATTTCTATTTCCATTTCTATTAATCTAAGTATTTCCATGTGGTCTCATCTTACTGGAGAGAGGGTCCAGACCTCTGTTCTCTTGGTCTTTCATCTTGAATCTCCTCCTCCCTCTCCCTGAAACCTCTTTGTCTCCTAGTCCCACCTATCTTGATTTCCTATTGGCCAATAGTGCTTTATTCATTAACCAATAAGAGAAACATATTACCGAATGACATCTCCCATCATCAGATCCCTGAAATTGCAGTTATACATGCTTGTGAACCACCTTGTGGGTGCTGGGAATTGAGCTCTGGTCCTCTGCCAGGCTAAGAACTGCTTTTAACTGATGAGCTATCTATTCATCACCAAGTGCCAGCAAAAATGTTTATACAATGCAGGTGTCTTTAAAATATTTTAATTAAAAAATATATAGTAGAAAATACATATCACAAATATGAATACCTCCTGTAGTAAACTTAGTACCTTGGCTTATTGTCTTCAGTGTGTGTTTTTTGTGTGTGTTGTGTATGTGTGTGTATGTGTGCATGTGAGAGAGAGAGAGAGAGAGAGAGAATTTACTTAAAAAGGAAACAAAATCCCCAAACCTACCCATAAGTATCTATAAAATATCCCTCAATTTGTAGAGAATGTCTGTCACTCAAATCTGTACTTTCCTATTTTAGTTTCCAAAGATAAAATGTATTCTGAAACATAGAGACAAGATCTGTAATATTTCCTTTTAAAATGTCTAAATTATTGAAGTCTTCAACTGAGGCTTGCTTCTGTTCCTTCACTTCTGAGACAACACAGTGTGTTGATTTCTGTGAAAGTTGGCTGTTTCAGAATTTGTCTACATTTCAGGTTGCTAATGTTAATGACCATTTGGTGAAGATTCAGATACAGAAAGCGCAGGTGGATGTAGAGAGAGGGCAGGTGTGCTTCAGGGCACATGCAGAAAGCACAGGTGGCTATAGAGAGAGGGCAGGCAGCTGCTGTAGAGAGGGCAGTTGTGCTTCAGGACCTAGACAATATCTTAGGTTTTCAAATGAAGCTGCTGACATGAATCGCAGCTCAATAAAATAGAAAGGCTTACTATTACTGTTGAAAGTAACTAATCTGACTGCTTGCCACAACGAATTAAAACATGTCTGGAAATTTTTATCTAAATGATCACTATTTTCTCCTCAGCAAAATGGTCAACTTATCGGAACCAGATACGATTGATGAAAGGGCCATCAATAAGAAGAAACTCACCCCATTCACGGTCTCTGTGAGTACTCTGCTGGTTATATGTGACTAGGCTAAAAAGTATCTAGTAGGGATGGGACGTTAAAATAATTTGCCACTTAAAATTTCTTTAAAACAATTTTCAGTGATGTGAGTTGAACACAGGGTCTTTTGCTTGTAAAGCAAGTGAGCTATAGCCCTGCCCCCCCCCTTTTTAAAGTTGGCTTTTTTTGTGTTGTTTTGATTTTTGAGACAGGGTTTCTCTGTATAGTGTCCCTGGCTGTCTGGAACTCTCTTTGTAGACCAGGCTGGCCTCCATGTGCCTCTGCCTCCCAAATACTGGGATTAAAACTGTACCACTATACCTGGCTAGCCCTGCCCCTTATTTATTAAATAAAAATTCAGCTTTATTTTACAATAAAATGGGATTTTACATAATTTGGGTAAGTTTCTTTATTAAAGTTAATTATATTCGGTTTATATTACAGTTCAGTTATTTTATTGATGATTATGCATTTGATGCCAGTGTTCACCCATTTTCTTTCCTTTCCTTTCCCCTCCCTCTTTCCTTTCCTCTTCCGCCTCCTCTCTTCTCCCTTCCATCCTTCTCCTTCCAACTCCTTTCTTTTTCTTTCACACTGAGGATTGCACACAAGGCACATGACATGCTAACCCAGTCAGAAGTTGTGGGTTAGAAGAGAGCACTGTGCAGTTAGGTCATGTCTTAGTAATTCCACAAGGTATTTATTTCTGTGCTAATTGTTCTTTAGGGCCTTATCAAAGCCTGAATTTATAGTTGCCAGTTTCCCCTTTCATGACTGCTAACATAATAATTAATATTCACTGAGTATTTCATTTAGAGCATATCACTGAGCTGATGGTGTACACTTCCAATCCCAGCACTGGAAGGCAGAGGCAGGGGGAACAGGAGTTAGGGGTCATCTACAGAATAAATTTGAGGAGAGCCTGGGCTGTAGGAGACTCAAAACAGAAAAAAAAAAAAAAAAAAAAAAAACAAACAATAAAAAACTACAAGCTACAAGAAATTTAACCTGTCTGTTACTGAAAAGTAAAAACCACCCCCACCAATTATAAAAACATAAACAAAAACAAAACAATTACAACAAGAACAACAAATCCAGTGCAGTTGTGGTGGTTTGAGTGAGAAAGACTCTCAGAGGCTCATCTATGAATGCTCAGTCACCGGAGAGGGAAGCTGTTTGCAAGGATTAGAAGGATTAGGAGGTGTGGACTTGCTAGAAGTATGTCACTGGGGGTGGGCTTTGAGGTTTCAAAAGTAAAAAAATAAAAGCTCATGCCAGGTCCAGGCCCAGCCCCCCCCCCTCTCTCTCTGCTGCCTTCAGACCAGATGTAAAGCTCTCAGCTACTACTCCAGTGCCACGCCTTTCTGCTTCCCACCATGATGGTTGTGTTGATATATCATTTATGATTTAATAAAGCCGATGAAGATCAGAAAAGCAAAGCAGCCAGCCACTAGCTCTTACCTCTATCTCAGGCTGAAAGGGCTGATCCTGCCCTCAGCATGGTTGGAGAATAAATCTCCGAGACTGAATGCTGAATGCCCAGCTGCCAATTTAGGTGTGGGATCCTAAGTGCTGAGATCTCCTTTGTGTGAGCTGTTTCTCTTTTAGACTGGTTCACTCTAATGTGACCCTGGGTGACCTTGAACTCACAGAGATCCATCGGCCTTTGTCTGCTGAATCCTGGGATGAAAAGTGTATATCACCACTGCCTGGCTCCATGGCTGTGGGTTAGCTTTGCATTTTGATCTCCAGTGGCTTTATTAGATCATAAACAATATATCACCACAGATGATCATGGACTAGCAGCCTCTGAAACTGTAAGCAAACCTCGATTAAATGCAGTTGTAAAAAGTTGTGACTCTTATTAATGAATACACTCAATTTAATGCTCTTGCATACTTCTTTGGAACATAGCTTCATGGTGTCAACAAATATGAAATGGGTTATGATAAGATTAAGTTTGTTGTAATCATTGCAAACCTAGTTCTTTCCCCTTGCTGATGCATTCTGGGGGAGTCACAAGTAGACAAACATTCTTTATACTCTAGAAGGAAAGGCTAGGAAACTGTTAGTGGTCAAGTCTAAATTTGCAGAGAGGATGTGTCCTGAAAATTGTATTGATTTGACTTTGGGTATTTAAAAGCATCTAAAGCTATTAAATGTTTTATAAGCCTCCTTAGCCCTTCCCCAGATTGGTTTGAAGTAATGGATTGTGAGGTTCTAAAGGTGCTGAAGGGTTTTCTTGCTTCGTTACTTGTACAGGTGTTGGGATTCTGAGGTAGAGTTTTGGCCTAGTATGAGTAAAGCCCAGTATTTAAACCCTAGCACTAAATAAAATAAAATAAAATAGTTCTTAACTGGAGGAGATATAAGAAGAAACAAGTAGGTATGTTAATATTGCATTGCATTGCCTAGTTTGTGTGAGTGGATCTGAGGATTGCTTTGTCTCTTTTGTTTGTTTGTTGCTTTGGTTTTTGAGACAGTATGCCATGTCACCCAGCAATTCTTGACCTTGCTTTGTAGCCACAGCTGGCCTTGAACTCTCTCTCCTCTTGCCTCTACCTCTCAAGTGTTAGATCGCAAGCATGATGTACCACCTTGCTTGGCTGGTGACATATAATATTTTAGAGAGATAGGAGTAAAGTTGGGAAAAATACAGAGTGTGTGTGGTGGTCTATTTTGTGTAAGATATTCAGAGATTAGGTGTGTTTGAGCAGAGTTTTAAAGCAACTGGCTACACTGGCAAGATGACTCAGTGGGTACAGTTGCCTGCTGCCGAGCCTGACTATCTGAATTTGATCTTCCACATAGTGGAAGGAGAGGACTGCCTCAAAGTCAAAGGTCCTGTACAGTTTGAGTAGAGAGAGCAAGAGAGTAACTGAGCAAGGGAAAAGGAGAGAATGTGAGTAATGGTAGTGACAGGACACATATGGAAGGTCTTAAACTTCATGAATAGCCTTGATCTATATTTCCATAGGCCAACTGATGCTGGAGCTCTACTGGCAACAAGTTGGGCAGGGGAAGCATGAGACTGGTCATTCAGAGTTAGGAAACTACCAAAGAAAGGCATGTTTCAGAGGTAAATACCTCTGACATTGGTAGAAATTGGTGACTGGCTGTGGAAGGCAAAGCAAAGACCCAGCTTGGGCTTCTGGGTTGGGTAGAAAGAAAGCAAGACAAAAGCTTTCACCCAGCAACTGAGACAGTGAGAACTGACATTATGAGGGACGATGGGAAGGATGGCAAGAAGAGCTGAGTATTCTGGACATGCCAGGTTTGAGATGCTGTAAGAACACCCAGCAGATATAACCAAGAGGATATACAACCATAGAGCTTGAAGTGGGTGCTTGCTGGGGGTGTGGACGAAAGATGGAAATCCAACACTCATTAGCCTATCTAGATGATAGTTAACCATGCGCGTTTCACTAGTAGTAGTTTAGTTTTGTAAATATTATGTTTAAAAATCTGAAAATTTTCAATCAGTTGTTACAAACAACTTTGTGGATAAGACTTTAGAAATATTTTCTCACCTGTGTATTTCTTTCGGCAATTCAGGAAAATCTGAATCTAGCCCTGAATTCCGCCTCGGCCATTGGGTGCACCGTGGTCAACATTGGTGCACAGGATCTGAAAGAAGGAAAGCCACACTTGGTCCTGGGGCTTCTCTGGCAGATCATCAAAGTTGGTCTTTTTGCTGATATTGAGCTTTCTAGGAATGAAGGTAAGCTCATCAGATACATTGCTCTTCATGTGTGGATAGCCCGTGAAGGAAGAGCTGACATCTCCGTGTTTCCCTCTTAGCTTTGATTGCCTTGCTGAAGGAAGGGGAGGACCTGGAGGAGTTGATGAAGCTTTCTCCTGAGGAGTTGCTGCTACGCTGGGTGAACTACCATCTGACCAATGCAGGATGGCGTACCATCAGCAACTTCAGCCAGGACATTAAGGTTTAGATTTTTGAAAAATTATATTATTCTTCATATAATTGTTACTGTTATTTTGGTGGGGGAGCATATGTCATAATATGTGTGTGGTAGCCAGAAGACGAACTGTGGGAGCTGATTCTCTCCTACTAACTACCAGGTGGGTCCTGCAGATGGAACTCGGGACACCAGGCTTCCACAGCAAGCGCATGACCCACCAAGCCATCTCACTGGCTCAGAGTTTAGATTTTAACATTCAATTTTTTTTTTTTACAGTGAACTAAGAGTGTAGGCTACAAGAAGTATAGGGGGTTCAGACTTAAATTTGAATTCACAAAGGTACTGGGGACAAAAAATGAGGGTTTATCTTTTCCTGCCTGAGTTGAATGCTACTAATTATATTCATTATATTCACAAACACCTTTTAAAATAATAAGCTGATTTATTGACTTTTAAAATAAGACAACTGACTGTGAGATAAAAGGGATATTAACTTTAACAGATTAAAGCATTTTCCCCTGTCACTGGCCCGCTAAATTATAAGGAACTAAGAATTATTGCATCTGTTTGCTGGATTGGAGTCCCATGGATTCAACACTCTTCTCCCATTTTGCTAATGATCAGCAAATAGAAAATCAAGTTGTCTGAGGTCATGGGGAATCTGTTGACTATGGGGATCTTATGGTATGTCTCCTAACCTTGGAAACACTGTCTTCTCTACTGGAGAGCCTTATCAAGGAACTATAACATCTACTTCCACTTAGTAGTAACTTTCCAAGTTCACTACTGCCATAAGCAATGCCAAAATGGGTCCCTGTGACTTTTCTTCTCTGTGGTTTATTTTTTCCAGAATAATCTGGAAAAATAATAGTGCTGCCTTTCATTCATATTTCCTCTTTAAATACAATGCCTTCAGTCACATTTTGCCACAATGGTGATATAGTTTTCTCAGTTTTCAGGTATTAACTACTGTTTTAAAAGCTTATTAGTCTGAATCTCCTTAAAATTCAGTTTGGTTCATTCAGATATTAAGAATCTCCTGACAGTACACCAGGTATTCTGATGTAAAGGATGGCATTTGAAAAGTTTATCAATTAGACCTGGCAAACTATGTAAAATTTTCTAGCTTAAAACAATGACTTAGGGGCTATGGTGGTGCACATCTTTAATCCCCCTCCGCTTGGGAGGCAGAGACAGGTGGACCTCTGTGAGTTCGAGGCCAGCCTGGTTACAGAGTGACTTTCAGGACATCCAAGGCTACACAGAGAGACTCCCTTGAAAAATAAAACCAAACCAGACCAAACCAAACCAAAACAAACAGTGACTTAGTGTTTTTCATAATTTTGTGTACTGATAATTGTCGATAGTTCTTTCCTACATTTCTCTTCTGGGATCAGTTGTCAGTTTGGCTGATCTGAAAGGTACACAAAGGCATTGGTCACGTGTCTCCTCTGCCAGGCCTTTCCATGTGGCTAGATTCAGCTTCCTCATACTCTGAGAATATCAGAGAGTTGGGTATTTTAGGTAGGTGAACTTCAAGAGGGATGAGCCAGGAGCTCCTTGGGATTTGGATCTTGAAATCCCCAGAACATTCAGAGTATTGTTTGGTCAGAGTAAACAGCCAGGGCAGCCTAAATAATCGGGGAGGGAAAAAGCCTTGGCTTCCTGCTGGGAAGAGCTACATGTATGCTTGGAGAAAAAATAGAGCAGGAGAAAAAATAGAGCAGCCATACTTGGAGATGACTACATTAGGTAATGTAATTTAATGAGATCACAGTTTATATATAGAGATGGAAAAGCGTGCAGTATAATGTGTGTGTGTGGGTGTGTGGGTGGGTGGGTGTGTGGGTGGGTGTTGGGTGGGGGCAGTTCATTCATGAGAGGCCAGTGAAGCCTTCCCAGAGTAAATGTTTGGCTTAAGCCTACCCTACATGACATTGATGCTTGGTGATGTAAATGCATGAAAATGTAAGGGGAGGGACTTCCAAGTATAGGCCAAGCATTGCTAGAAGCTCCAGGTGTAGGGTGTAAGAGCGCATTGTTAGAAGCCTGAAGTATAAAGTAGTGTTGTGTATTCAGGAACTGGGTAATGGTGCACTAGGTTGTTTAATACACCATTTTGTTTGAGATGAGAACACTTTTTCTCCTAAAATTATTTTTACTAATGCTGCCATTTTCTCCTTTTCTTGAAGGATTCAAAGGCCTATTTTCATCTGCTTAATCAAATTGCTCCTAAAGGTGATCGAGATGGTGGACCTGCCATTGATATTGATCTTTCAGGATTTAATGTAAGTGATTTTTTAAAAACTAGTAATACTGTAGTAATAGTACATGTGATATAATTATCATTTTTGAGTGTATAGTTCAGTGGCAGTCAGTACACCCATAGTTCTTTGTAACCGTCATTACTGTCTCTCAAGAGCATTTTCCATCCGTCAGTAACCATTAACTCCCCCAACTCCTGGCGACTCTGTGATTCTCCTTTCCAACTCTGAGTCTGAATAGTGAGTGCAGGGAAATTGATAGCATAACACACACACTCTCTCTCCTCCTCTACCTGTTCATCCTCCCCACCTTCCCCCTCCATCCTCTTTCTGCCTCTGTGTTCCATGTAAGTTCCTGGTACCTTAAGAGGCCAGAAGAGGGCATCTGTTACCCTGTAACTGGAGTTACAGATAGTAGTGAACTTCCATGTAGGTGATGTGAACTGAATACAGGTCCTGTAGAAGAACAGCTGGTGCTCTTAACCTCTGAGCCATCTCTCTAGCCCTCCAAGAGACTTTAAAATATTTAAAATAAATGGGAGGTTGATTTGTGATTCTTTCACATTCTGCTATTATTTGATGCATTTGTGGAACTGTAATTGCTTGTAAATATTATATATTTGTGTGTGTGTGTGTGTAAGTGTAAATAATTATGTCAGTAAAAGTTTGATATTGACCATTTTTGTTTTATTTGCTTTTTTAGGAGAAAAACGACCTGAAGCGTGCTGGATTCATGCTTCAGGAAGCCGATAAGCTTGGCTGCAGACAGTTTGTTACCCCTGCAGATGTGGTTTCAGGAAACCCCAAGCTAAATCTAGCCTTTGTAGCAAATCTCTTTAACACATACCCATGCCTACACAAGCCTGATAACAATGATATTGATATCAATTTATTGGAAGGTATGTTCTTTCTGCCTTGAGTTGATTTACTGTTTTTCTTTCTGTGGTATTGTCCTACTTAACTGTCCTGGGTAGGGGACTCTGGTAGGAGACATGTTTGTGTGTGTGTGTGTGTGTGAGAGAGAGAGAGAGAGAGAGAGAGAGAGAGAGAGAGAGAGAGAGAGAGAGGGGGGAGAGAGAGAGAGAGAGAGAATGAGAGAGAGAGCATGTGCAGTCACAGAAAGTTCAAATTACAGGGTGTGATTGCTGGGTATTATTATAAGAAAATGCTGAGTAGCTTTTAGTTACCTGCCAATCTCTCCAGAAGAGTTAAGTAAAAACTATCAGACACTTAAAGATGCTCATAAATGATCCCATAACATAACTCTGCCATCAATGTAGAGAATGAATTTATCTATTAGAAAAAGTAACATTTGATAGCATTTTGCCTTTGAAAGCAAGTTTGACTTCATTATTGCTCTTTTTAATGTTTTTAGAATGTATGAAAAAATTATCATTACTTATTGTATGTAGGTAATTGTTATCTGTCTCATAATATAATACTTTCCTGTTTTGCTTCATGAAATGCAGATTTGACCCCTCCTAATGTAGGTACTGTATTTAGTACTTTTCTATATTCTATAAATATATTCATTCTGAATTTTCCTTTTATTAGTGGCACTTATTCTTTCCCTCTGGGTTGATACTTATTGTTTTGCATTTTCATGCTCTGTTGTCTTAATGCACCTATAGAATGAATGACTACAAGCAAGAAATGCAAATGAAATTTATTTAGTAGAGCTAGGCTTTGATTATGTACACTCTATCTAATTTGCCTTCTATAATGATGGGATATTGTGGTAAACATATTAGAAACGAGTTTTGACAATTAGAGTTCATGATTTGATGTAAAGTCTTTATCTCTCTCCTATGTCAAATCTTATTTTTTTTTATCATAAGTGCCTTTGAAAGGATTTATAGTTTACAACATAATTTGTTTCATATTATTTATGTTGCATATTCTAAATGTCATTGAAGTTTACAATATATTAATTGTCTTAATGGCAAAAAACAAAACAAAACAAAACAAAACATTCTCAGTAACCAGTTCTTTGTCCTTGTCATTGTGGCCTGGACTCTCTTCCGCTTTCTCCCATTTTCACACCCTCACCCACGTGAGCACGATTAATATTGAAAAGATGAGTAAAAACAGCGGCAGCCTTGCTAGCTGTCAGAGGGGGAGACAATCCTAAAGCCTACTTGTCTGGCTTTGGGAAAAGGGGGAATTTAATGTTGGAGTGTGCCCTCCTTGCAGCCTGTTCTTGCTGTCTTCCCCAGTGAGACAGAATGAGGAGTCACCTTCATCATCTTTTGCCTTGGGCTACCAAAGCTAGAGTTCCAATGTCCTACCACTTCGTGATTACAGTATCACAACTACTAAAATTTCAGATCAAAGGTACTTTTAGTTATGTAATTAACCTAATCCATTCACGTTTTAAGCAAAGAAAAAATTAGGGTTAAAAAAAAACAGAACTGAAAAAATTAGGGTTTAAAAAAAAAACCCCAGAACTTTAAAAATTAAGGCAAAAAGGAAGATTATTATTATTTTTTTTTCTGAGTCTGGGAAATTTCAGAACCCCTGTGTCTTACAACAGAAGGCATTGTTTAGAGTGGCATGTTTAAAACAATCTGCTTTTTATAGTTACTGAGTTCTTTGCTAAATACCTTTCCCAGCTTGCTTGCCCTTCTCTGTCACGTGTGGGTTCCTTTGCTAGTGCTCAGCATGCTTTGAGAGTTTTCAGTGTGAGCACGGTTGCTACGGATTTCCTCTGGTATTCCCTCTGCTTGTTGGGATGCTGTGGGAAATATGTACCAGTCGTCTTTACTTAGAACATATGTATGTCCTGACATGGCTGCCAAAGGTGGCTGTCATTGGATTATTTTCCCCTGTAAATTTGTTATTTTATGGATCCTTGTGAAATTTTAGCTTTGAACTTACCACACCCCAAATTCATATATTAGTATGTCTCATTGGCAGAGAATTCCGCCTAGAAGGAACTAATGAAATTTAAAAGCCCAGTTAACACATGCTAAGCCTTCATGTCAAATTGTGCCAAACACGAACACTGCATACAGAGAGACTATCTGTGAATTTGTCTGTGGTGATAGGAAATAAATAAACCGTAAAATTAGAAAGACTTTGTTCAAATCATGGTTCCACCATTTTCATACCTGAGTCCCAGCTGTGAGCCTTGGTTTTCATGTATATAGCACACAAGTAATAATATTTACTCCGAAGAGTCCCAGAAGAGGTTTGACATGATCATTAGTGAATAGCATTCCATGGACAGTATGGTACATTCAGTGAGTGTGGAGTACGTTATTTCTCTTTCTGTCTTCCTAATAAGGTAGTTTAAAAATATACTTATTTTATTAAAACTTTTGCCAATTTGACTTGCAAATTAAAAATATTTTTAGTGCTATCCAGTAGTTAGAAATTAAGATTCTTAGTCACACGTTGCTTTAGTTGTCTACAATGGAAAGGCATTTTTTAGTCTGCAATACATATGTTTTTGAAATGCTTTTTTTGGCTCCTGCACAAATGCATAGTGCTTCTAGCTGTGAGCATCTACGTACTAAGATGATTTAAGTGGCACTCAGTAAATAAATGCTCATGTAGAAAATCTATTTTACTTTTCATGTGTTAAAAACCAAATAGCACAATTAGTTGAGAACAGAAAAAAAATGCAAATCTTCAAAACTTAAAACAGTTTCCAAACTTTTACATGTAAGTTTAATGTCTTTTCAAATAACTGTTGTATCAACAGTCTCAATAGACTTTGAATATCTTAGTCAAAATTGTGACACCCATCTTTCGTAATTTAAAAGCTTAATTTGCATTTTCCTAGATAGAAACAGTGTAAACATTTCCTAATTACTGAGGGGTGGGGGTGGTGGTGGTGTATCTTCTTGATATGGTATCAGTAAATTAAAGAAGCAAAGGCAATCCAAGTCACATTTGTCAAGCAGTGAACGTAATGTGCTTATGTTGGAAGCAGTTCAGGGATTTAATTTGCACCACTAGTTTGAATTGGCTCTTTAAATAAAAAGTTTTCCATGTAGATTGTTTAGTATAAAGTAGTGTAGTAGATATGACAAACTGATCAGTTACTTTTTGAAATTAGAGGGCATAGAATGTAAGCAAGAAATTATTTGGTTAATAAAGCTAGAATTGTATAGGTAACTTAGGTAATAGCATTGAAAATCTACATGGAAATAGGGTGAGCAGTTTATTTACTGAATATATGATGGGAAAATAGAATCATTTAGATTGTACAAGGCTTTGGCTCTTTGTGGATATTTAGGTTCCTACTCTCTGTGGCAATTAATTTGAAGTTGACTGTAGACATGACTAAGAATGAATCCTGGAGTCTAGGTGGTTATAGATTTCTATGCCAAATGGCACTGTAATTCTCTCATGGACCTAAGTCTGGTGTGGCCTATGTTGGCCTGTGCATTAGAAATGGTGAGAAGTATAAATGTATTAAGAAGTATAAAGGTTTTAACTTTAGGGAGTTGGTGATAAGATACAATCTAAGTTATTTTATTGTGCCCCTCCCCCACCCTGCTTTGTCAAAGAGTAAGACGTGATGTAGTCAGTTAGAACCATTTGCTGTCAGTAAGTTCAGTAAGGCAGATGAGGTGGGAGAGCTCACGTCTCTCCCTGAATTGTACATGCCATACTCATGTTTTATTTTTTCTTTGTTCGTTTTGTTTTGCTTGTTTTTAAACAGATAATGTATAATCAGGGAGACAGGTTAAGCAGAATTACCCATTGAGTTATCCCCTTGAGATGATTTTGGGGGCCGAGTAACTTACAGTGATGAAATGTATCTCAGAATAAAATGAAATGCTGTTGGTGGTCCGTGTTCCTCTTAAATTTTCAACAGTAGTAATCCAAAGTCACTCAGAAAGCTGGAAAATGTTGATACTCCTCACTGCATGTTTTTTACATCTCCTGAAATCTTCTCTCCCCTTCATTATTTGTAAAGTTTAGATTTGTGTGCCCAGAAAGGTTCCTGTCTAACCATAATCTGCTCAAATGTAGGAATACTGCATTTGAGGAAAGTAGAATTTTCTAGTCTGTTTACTATGTTGTCTGTTACCTTGCTCACCACTAAAAGACTGGCCAAACCAGGTTGTAATGTTATGCTACTCAAATTGCATTTATACTGTCTGTTGCGTCCCTGAACAGAAAAACCCATGGCTCAGTAGTAGTTCACAGACCTCCATCAAGGGGATCTAGATGGAGAGAGGACAAATGGAGGCTTCCTAGGTAGTTGGGATGAGAAATACTTTCCCCTTAAAGAAATTATATCAGACAAAGTGGCCAGTTTATCCTAACAGGATTCGTTAAGCACAGTTCTTATTTATTTGGCCTGAATCATCAGTGTGGGCTTTCGTCTACCCTAGGGGAGAGCAAGGAAGAGAGGACATTTCGGAACTGGATGAATTCACTGGGGGTCAACCCATACATCAACCATTTGTACAGGTAAAATAGCTGACTCTGTTTCAGCCTTACTGTCATGGTCTAACTTAAGTTTCCCCTCTAGGTATGTTGACATGAGGATGTTTTCTCAAACTACAAGAATTTAGCCAACATTTGGAATGCATTTTTGTTTTTGTTTTGTTTGGTTGTTTGGTTGGGATTTTTTTGAGAGTTATATAAAAAGACAATGTGATAACAATAATATTTAATTATGTTATAATGAGTAAATGTCTGTGTTTTGTAGTTGATCATGAAAATAAGAAATTAATTCAGCACTAAGGATTAGAATAACAGTAGTATCTAATTGTCCTCATCTATGTATCATTATTTTTCACCATAACATAGTTTTTCATTTATTTATATCATTATTTATACTATCATTTTCACTTATGATTTTCCTTATTTGTAGAAATAACTCCTTTTCCTGGGTGATAATTTTTAAAATTCATTTTCCTTTTCCCAAAAACGTACCATTCTACTTTGCTGTTACTCACCGCCACTGCCACTCCATCCTCGTCCCACTTTTGCTAGTTGAGTTCATTGCCTGCAGATCCTTCTTTTAGCTCTTTTCCTCCTTTTCCACCATCCCTTTTCTGTGTTCATGTGCTACACATGCATCCATGTGTGGGTTTAAGTCTAGAGCCCACATCTGAGAGACTCATGTCTGACGTACTTCATGTAACACAAAAGTCTCCACTTTCACCTACTTTCCCATGTGTGCCCTAATGCCATGCAAGGTGATCTTTTACTTTTTGTTGTTATACTGAGGATTAGGCTTAGGGCTTTGTACGTGAGTGGTGAACATTTTACCACTGAGTTACATCCCTAACCCCGAATGTCCCAATTTTATTATTCTTTAATGTTGAATAAAATTACACTATGTGTATGGATCATATGTACCTTATTCATCCCTCTGTTGATAGACATGTGGGCTGGTTCATATCTTAGATATTATGAAATATGCAGCAAGTATATCTATGGATCCTTTGAGTATACACTCAGGAATGGCATAATGAGGTAATATAGTAACTCTAATTTTGTTTTGTGCACATTAATAGGGCTACAAAAAATAGTTATTATTTCCTGTGCTCTGTGCTAGTAGTAATCATGTATCTATTTGGGCATGAGCAAGAGAAAAATGTTTCTTTTTGATTTATTATAGAATATAGACTTGATGGGGGCTGAAGAGATGGCTCAGAGGTTAAGAATATAGCCTAGACAACAATGCAGGATAAACTATTCTACTTCAGCATTTTTAATAAAAGAGTCTACTAAATCTATCAACAGTTTCCATACCAACAACATATCTTCAAGAAGGAACTGAATAAATAAATTAAGATTCATTTTTAGCAGAAAAACTTTGTTCACTATGGATTTCTTTTCAATTATATTTTATATTGTTATATATTGGTGTGCATACATACCATGGTGTGCATATGGAAGTCATAGGATAACTTTTTAGAATCAGTTATCTTCATCTGTCTTGACTTGTAGACTTGTAGACTAAACCCAAGTCATCAGGCTTGCACGGCAAGCCCTTTTACCTACAGTCAACTTGCTGGTCCTAGCTAAGGATATCTGTTCCTTGCTATTTATTAAAATATTAATTAAAATTGAAACCAGCATTGTCTTATTTTAATAACTATTATTTTAATAGACATTTAAAAACAAAACTCTTTAGTTTCTAGCTGGATGAAAAGATGTATTGCAATTAGACTAGAGCTTTTGTTATAGGAGCAGGTCAGGTAATACTACAGCATTGGCGAGAGATATGATTAGATGTTCATGAATTCATTTGAAAGGATGTATATAGTATGTTATTGAGAATAAACCAGCAACAGGTCTAAGTATGATCTAGTTTAGTTTCAAATTGACTACATATAAATTTGTAAGTGAATTCTTAATGTCTTGAGAAGTATATATTATACAAGTCTAAGTAGTAGGAATAGAGAATATCATTTTAATATGGTCAGTCTTATTTTCTAACAGTGGACATGTATTTCCTTATCATTAATGGTTAAATATTTTAAAAAAATGAGATGTATTTATTTTTATTTTATGAGTATGGGTGTTTTGCCTGCCTGTTTGTCTGGGTACTGTGTGTGTGCAGTGCCTATAGAGGCCAGGAGGTGGGCCAGCCAGTGTAGGTGATTCAAAAACCAAGGTAGACAGCTCTTGAGAAACAGCACCTAATCTTGTCCTCTGGTGGTCATGTGTACATAAAAATGTACGCATCTCCCACATAACACACACATACACACGTTAAAAAGGATTAAGATTTGTTGAGAGTCAAGGTAACTTTTATAAATGCTGAGAACACAAAAGTTCTCAATGGATGAAAGTTAAAAAGATATTTGATTATTATTATGATGTCTTTGAAATATTAGTAAAGGCATCAAGGCATATGCAATTTTTTTCTTGAGAAAGATAGTTTACTTTCAGAAGATCTTCAAGTAACAATCTTAAAGGAAGCCCTTGGAGATAGAAAAACAGTAGGCAATAGCATGTGTCTGTGAATTTGGGTGCTAACCCACCCTTAGCACTCAGTTTCCCACCTATTATATACTCAGTTGATGCCAAACCAACTAGATTGACAGTAACAGTAATTTTTAGCTAAATATTCTTTTCTTTAAATAAGCTGTTAAATATACTTTCAGAACTATTAGTCCTAGAACTTTTCTCCCACCATTTGGTTCTGGAATTTATTGTGAATGTCCTGGAAATTATTCATCTGTCTGAGTCTTGGGTTTCTAATGTGCAGAACATGAGTAATAATAATAATAGCATAGTAAATAATAGGAGGGTAAATGCACTTAAAGTAAAAAAAGAAAGAAAAGGAGAAAAAGAAATAGGTGAAATCCCAGAACTTACATGGTGACTTTAGTGATCTCTTTTTTTGCAGACTAAATGTGCATGTGCTTTCAGCTTGCCCATTCAGATCTTAATTAACCAAATGTACATTAGATGTCTCCATCGCTTAGTACAGAACCTGACTTCATTCATTCACGGCTGTATGGTGTGTGCCCAGAGAAGGAAGAGTAACTCTGATATGAACTATAGCAGAACACAGCCAGTGAATAAGCTATGGAGGGGAAAAGCCAGGCATTCCTTCCCAGAACTGCTTGCTGCACTGATAACTGCTTTTTCCTTCACATCTAGAGCCGACAACAGACTGGACAGACTTTAAGCTTCTTGGAGAATGTATTTTCTGAATCCAGAGTAAAAGTGTTTTTAGTATTCTTACATTCAGAACTCCTACTTCCTTATAAAATCCTTCCTCTTAATTTTTATTGTTGAACAGGAACAGCTACCCACCGAATAGCTACAATTTTCCTATAACTATTTTTAAAGTTTTGAAAAATCATAATATGTAACACACGAACTCATTCTATTATATGAGTCTCAAACAATGTAAGTGTATAGAATAAAATAAAATGTACAATTCCTCCTTGTTCCCTCTCATATTCTGTTTTTCCTGCTCACAAATGATTGCTCTTAGCAGTCCTTACATATGTAAAAAAACTTTGACTGAGATCAAACCATGAGTGTCCAGCCACTTGCTCTTAAATACTCAATGTGTCTTAAAGAACTTTCTATATCAGTATTTCAGACCAAATTTAACATATCGGAGGGCAACCCCAGAGTTCATAGTAAGGATAGTTGACTCAGTAGTCTTTCTAACACTGGACGTTTGTTTTCAAATATATAAATACAGTGGTAATAAAAACCTTTGTATGTACCGGGCGGTGTTGGTGCACGCCTTTAATCCCAGTACTCGGGAGGCAGAGGCAGGTGGATCTCAGTGAGTTTGAGGCCAGCCTGGTCTACAAAGCTGCACAGAGAAACCCTGTCTCAAAAAACAAACAACAACAACAAAAAACCAAGAACCTTTGTAAGTGTGCATGTATACAAGTATGTGTATATATGTACAAATGCCTTGTAAACATGAAAAGGTTGGACAGACTCTCAGGTTGGAAGTTTGAGGTCAAATGAAATGCCTTGCCATTATAAGCTTTAAATGACTGTTTTAAAGACAGGTGTCCATCTGCAGTGTAATGGTAGTAACTGACATTTTCCCCTTCTAATGAGCATTTCCTTCCTGTTTTAGTGACCTTGCAGATGCCCTGGTGATCTTTCAGCTCTATGAGATGATCCGTGTGCCAGTGAACTGGAGCCAAGTCAACAAGCCCCCTTACCCTGCCCTTGGAGGGAACATGAAGAAGGTGACTAGAATGACTATGGCTTTCTGTTATGACTTAAATCCAAGGGTTTAGTTTTATATGTATTGGTGTGTGGTTTATGCCTATAGATTCATTTCAACTCAGTGTGCTAAGTGTGATGGGTTCTTTGTGAGCTTGGTTATTAAGTGTTTGGAAAGATGAAGGCAGTCCTTCCAGGCAGACACTTCATTACACTGTTTTCATCTTTAACAAGTTATGGTACTTCTGTTATTGAGATGCACCCTGAGTGCCCTCTTCTGCTGTAATTGCCACGACTTGCTAAATCTTAACTGCTTGCTTGTTCATTTATTCATCAGATGTATTCTGATTTCTTATTACTTGCACAGTGTAGAACATGATAAGAAAAACTCACAAGCCATGGAGCTGCTCTTAGGAAAGGCTACAGAAATGATGGTGATAAGATATGTATACCGGCGACTGAGCGAAATGGGTTCTGTGGGTTTTAAAGAGAAAAGGGCCACAAGTTATCCTATCCAAGTGGCTTCGTGCATGAGTTTGTATTTGAGTCAGAATCTAGAAAATGGGTGAATTTTCTCACAGGGAACCTGGAAGAGAGGCGGAGGGGGAAGGAAATGGATAGTGCTGGGGAAGTATGTTGCAGAGAAATGAAACGTTAGGAAAAGTGTTCATTTTTATGACACTTCTAGAATCTAGAATATATAACAAGAACACTTAATAAAATCCTTTGACCTTATAATTCCAGTTTATTAATCTCCTGAAAAACTAGGAAGTCAGGCTGGAAAGATGGCGGAGTTGTGAAAGTGCTTGCTGTGCAACATAAGGACCTGAATTCAGTCCCCAGAACCTATGTCAAAAGTTGGGTGTAAAGCCAGCGTTGGTGGCGCACGCCTTTAATCCTAGCACTCGGGAGGCAGAGGCAGGCGGATCTGTGAGTTTGAGGCTAGCCTGAATTCCAAGGAATTCAGAGAAACCCTGTCTTGAAAAACCAAAAAAAAAAAAAAAAAAAAAAAAAAAAGGCTAGGTGTGGTGCTGCATACCAGATTTCAAACCAGGTGTTACTCCAGACCCCACCCTCTCCTGTACATGAGCACTAATTTGTGGTTTTCTATTCATTGCTGGTTGTGTCAGCATCAGCTTGAACTCTACACTAACAACCTCATCTCCTTTCTTATCATCCTCTCTCCTAAGACTTTGTCTTTATTGAAACACATTTTGCACAGAAGCCATGACTGTAGTTAATTGGGAAAGTTTCCCCTTCATCCTCACTGTTCCTTCTTATTTCTACTAATTATGCTTATTTCTAACAAATATGCTAAGCAGGGATAATTAACTATGGGAACTAGAATTGTTTTAGTTTTTAGTTAAAAAATTATATTGGGAGAAAGAGAGAGAGAGAGAGAGAGCATCTCTAGTTCAACTGTTTTGAATGGAGTCTTGACTAACTTGGAAAAGAAAACTAAGAGAAACCAATTATACTATTTTTCGGAATTAGTATTTATCCATTCCAACCTGTATTTAGTAAACATCCCCTTTCTCTACTTGTGTGAAAAGATTTTAAGACCCGAGGCTGGAAAGATAGCCTAGCATTTAAGAGCATTGACTGTTCTTTCAGAGGACCTGGGTTCAATTCCCACATCATGCTGGCGCACAAAAATATGTAATTCTAGTTTAAGAAAATCCCATGTACTCTTCTGGCTTCTGCAGACACTACACGAATGTGGCAAAACCCCAAAATACTAAAATAAAAAAAGGAAGAGAGAAAAAAAAAAGAGTTTACAATTTCATCAGAGCAGAAATACCTCAGGGGATTGGGGGTAGGAGACTGCAATGACAGCTTAGTGGGTAAAAGTCCTTTTTACAAGTGTTAAGACCTGAGTTCAAATCCCAAGAATTCCATAAAGATTGGACATGTAGCATCAGTGTTCCTATAGGGAAGTGAAGGGGGAGGCAGGCAATCACCTAAAGCTTTGGGTTATGCAACAGAATAGTGGGGTGGAGTGAGGACTGATGTCTGAGGTTGCCCTCTAGCCTCCACATTAGTGCTGTGGCATGCATATGTCATATTTACATACACCTGCACATGCATACATAGACACAGCTATAAACAAACACACAGAGAGAAAAAAGGCAGAAAAAATACATGTATCACCAGATGATGAATGATAAATGCCTCTGTAGAGACTAGACCAAACCAAACATTTTAGAAAGGATCTAACTGGGTTTCTATGACTAGAAATGAGTAAGTAAGTGGGAAATGATATACTTGGCATTTGTCTTAGTTATGTTCTGTTGCTGTGAAGAGACATCATGACCATGGCGACTATTATGAGAGAAAGCATCCAATTAGAAGTTAGCTTACAGTTTCATAGGTTTAGTCCATTACCATCATGATGGGAAGCAGACAGGCATGGTGCTGGAGTGGTAGCTGGGAGCTTTTCACCCTGATCTGTATGCAGCAGGCAGAGAGAGAGAGAGAGAGAGAGAGAGAGAGAGAGAGAGAGAGACTGGGCTTGCTGTGGCCCACACCTTCCAAACAGTATCAATTAGGGACTAAGCATGGTATATCTGAGCTTATGAGGGGCATTATTCAAACTAACACATGTATTTATAAATCATATTTTTACTGTAGATAGCATTGTGCTGAGAACAGAGTTGAAGTGTGGACAGAATGGTAGGGATTTGTACTGAACATGTTTTATGGGACACTGATACTATGCATAACAAAAGAAAATAAATAAAAACTAGGTATCACATAGTCCATGAATCTAAGGAAGTTAATATGGGTTAGCTAATTGGCTGGTATAGTTAAGATTATTTAGTTATGTTTTGATTCTTGGGATTGAACCCAAGGCCTCACACGTACTAGGAAAGTACCCCTGAGCTACTATTGTGTGACACCATTCTTGGGGTGACTTAGACGAGCAAGCATCTTCTCACTCCAGGTAGAGCACTGATGAGAGAACAAAGTGACGATACCACCAGCATCCAAATGATGAGCCAATGAGTTTTATTGGGGTACTTAAAAGGGTGTGAGTGAGGGGTTACTTACAGGCCAATGTCCACCCCAGTGTGGGTGACAGCTCGTGAATGCTGGAACCCTGGAGCACACTGCATAGCCTACAGGCCGCTTGATAGGGTGGAGAGTGTCCTTTTCTGGTGGCTCAGTCTAAAGCAGCTCGGCCACTACAATGCTGTCTCTCAGCATCCTCATTTGGGAAGGAGGGGCCAGTGAATATGGTTACTCTGAGACTTCCTGAATTTTAAGGAGCTTCCCTGCAAGATGGAATGTTTCACTTCCCTTTAGACCACCGTGTGTCTTAAGAAACTTCCCTCCAAGGTAGAACACTTATATAGGAGAAAACTGCTGAACAACAGCCGCATCCCAGACAAAGCCTTTGCAGTATCAAGTGGGCAAGGACCTGAATTTCAGAGGATGTGTGAAACCTTTCTATTAATAAATTATGTTATCTGCAGTCAAGGCTTTGGGACTGAAGGGGAGCCTAACACTGTTCGGCCCGTTTTCATATTCTAGATTAATCCCTTTGTTGTTTTGAGCACTTCCCTTTAAACTGGGCATAATTGTTTTACTTGGTTGTTACAAAATAAAATTTGGTCACATAGTGTCATTGTTGTTACTTTTCAGGTGGCCGGATTAGGTTGGCATAGTACAGGAATGTTTTTAAAATCTGTTTTTTATACTAATAGTTTTATTTACTTACAGATTGAGAACTGTAACTATGCAGTAGATCTTGGGAAGAATGAAGCCAAATTCTCTTTGGTTGGCATTGCTGGGCAGGACTTAAATGAAGGGAATGCAACACTCACCCTGGCCTTAGTATGGCAGTTGATGAGAAGGTAAAGGCTGTGTCTTTATAGTAACACTGAGTTTCCTTCTCCAAATCATTTGAACTAAACATATAGCTAGTTTTGGAGACTGGTGAACATAAGTAAATATACAATGTGAAATAAATTAATTCTATGAAAGATTTGCTATTGGTTATATGTTTTCAAAAATTACAATGGGTTAATTTCTAGTAATATCATCACTTCATATTAATACCTCTTAAAATGGCTTTGTAAGGAATTGTTTTAAATTTTTAAAATACTATCTGGTAGTATTCTGCTTTGATACTGAGCTTCGTAACTTTTGAATGTCATTAAGTGCAAAAGCCAGACTAAAGTTAGAAATTTAATTTTTAGAAACAGGAGCTTGTGACCCTCTAGCTTCAGCCTCCCAAGTTATAGGCATAAGCCACATCTGGCTATTTCTTAAATGTTGATATAAATGATGTGAAAACAAATTGCATCCCCTTGTCTCAAGTTCATATCGTTTCTGTTGCAGGTACACACTGAATGTATTATCAGATCTTGGAGATGGTGAAAAAGTCAATGATGATATTATTATTAAATGGGTCAATCAGACTCTTAAAAGTGCAAGCAAAAGCACTTCTATTTCCAGCTTCAAGGTAACAAGGACTTTTAAAAGTTATACCTAAGTTTAACAGAAGGGATTTTTAAGGAGAATTCATTAGTGAGGTTCAGAATTATATTAGTATTACATCGCAGATACCTATAACCCAGGAATTTAGGCCTAGTAATTATCTGGCATGTGTAAACTAGAAATAATTTGAATTCTTATACTTTTGATTGGTTATATATTTAATACAAATGCAGGTTAGTGCATTTAATGTGGTAATCTGATGTCAGAAGTAGAGTTGAGCCAGAAACCCAGTTGTCAAATGAAAAAAGAAGCTGCAAAGCATTGGTTGTTTATATAGGACCTGTGATGTTTTGTGCTCCCTAGCAGCAGTGTCTGAATTGTATTGGCATCATTTCCAAGCCATACAGAGCCAGCCAAGGCGATTCAAGTGGGGATTGAGAAAACTGGTAGGAAAAACAATTCTTATCATCCAGTTTCATAATGCACCTAACACTTCCTTCTGAGCATTTGTGGATGATTCATAAAGCACGGAGAATGTAATCTGCACAAACATACCCACTAATTTCCATGCATTTTCATTGTGTTTTGCTGTTGCATGCAAGCTGGTATTAGCTACAAATAAGCATGTCCGCTTGAACATATTCATTTAGTGTCCCTTATGTTTGTGATTTTTATTATATGTTTTAAAAAGCCCAGCAATTTTGGTTTTTGAAAACAGTTTTAAAGGTGCCAATATATGAAACACTAATCTATTTTTAAAGATACCTACCCATCTTTATTCTTTTGTTTGCATTTGTTCTATGTATTTAACAATATTTGAGAGTAGCAGAAATACCACACATTGATAAATAACTTTACAAAAAAAAAAAAAAAAAAGACTCCAAATGGTTTTAACAGAATATATCTTGGGAAAGATGTTCTCTAGGTCCGAATTCAGGTGTATCTTTTTTCTTTTATGTCTTGGAGGACACTAGTAACACTATTTCTTAATTTTTTAAAAAGTAACTATCAGTCTGATAAATATAAAATAGGAATGTGGTATATTACAAAATTCTCTAAGAGGTCATCTGTGAAAATATTATGCCAGAGTTACACATACTTGCATATTTATTAAAATAAGAAGGCTGGCAGAATGCATAAGGTCCTAGGTTCAACCCCTGGTAGCAAATATATATACATATATATTTCAATATCCATCATTTATATTAAAGACAAAACTTGTACAATGGATATAATACTACTATGGAGTAGGTCATAAAATTCAAGTGGTACAACTGATTTTCTCAAGTGTACAGTCTGGTTGATCTTTCTAATTCAATGGTCAGTGAAGAGTGGAACAAGGAAAAACATTTGATGGTGGGATATAGGCTCGAAGTGCATTATATACCTTTATGAAAATGGCCTTAAGTAACTCAGTATAATATACATTTAAAAACCTAAACACAAAATAAAGCAAGTTGATTTGAACATCAGCTGGAGGATTTGAACTGGTGAACAAAAGAGGGAGATAACAAGCCAGAAGTATCCATCTTGAATAAAGGCAGTGTTGAGGGGATGGCTTCTAAAGCAGATTGTACAAAACAGATTAAGTCAAGATGGGGGGGGGGAGAAATTTGTTCTAAATAAAGAATATTGAGTAAGAGGAGTAATGTGGGAAAGGTGATTGTTTCAGAAAGAAATGTCTGAATTCACAAACTGGTCACTAATCGAATTCAAGACATGCTATAACTAGCCATGTCAGAAAAGACATATTTAACCCTTTCATTTGTAAAGAATTTTTTCCTCATGAAGAAGATAAAGAAGTAGTGTATCAGCAAGTAATAATTAAAATTGCCATTGATCTATTTGTCATTATGCGAAGCATGCTTCACATTTATCAACTCTAGGAGCAAAAATGTGAGCATGAGAAAAGTTCGTCCACTGACGTGCACTTTTAAAGGGAAGAACTTGTTTTCTTATCAAGGTCTGTGTACGTACAGATTCAAAGCCAAACTTTGTAGTTGTATGGCTCTGGGTTTGGCTCTTGGCTCAGCGCTTGTGACCTGCGTGAATGACATATTACTTATTCGGTCTGTAAATATCAAAGCTCAATGTGTCAGGTGCCTTGTTACCATGGCTACCAATGTCCTCAAAGAACTCACTGTTCAGGGAAGGGCACAAGGGAGAAAAGCATTGCAGTGTGGGGTGTCAGCAGTATTATGTAAATCAGGTAAGCGGATGGCGGTGCACGAAGACATCTGTTTTTCGGAAACCTTGGCAGTTTACACTAGCATCTGGGCTACGTCTATGGGTGAATGAAGTAGACCTAGTATCTGATTCTTCATTTAGTACCTGCATGTTCTTGGACAAGTTATAGTAATTTCTGTGTTCCAATTTGCCCAAGTCAAAGATGGAGATAATATCTGTCTTACAGAACCATTATAAAACAAATTTTTAAAAACAGAAAAAAGCTTAAGCATGTCTGCACACAGGAAGGGCGGAATAAATGGGGCTTGCTGCATTAATGTCACTGCCTGTATATAAAGGGTATCATATGTGAAGGGAATCCTGTTCAATCTTTAAGGAAACTCTCTTAGTCATGTCCCAGTTTTTCCTACTTTTATTTTTAAAACATCAGGAAGAATAAAAAATAGAGTATCAAATCAAAGGAAAGAGATGCAGCAGTCTTTGAAATCAGGCTAAGCTCTAGGTTTCATTCTCTTCTAAAATTCGAGAGACTTTTTGTTTACATAATTCCTTTATGCTTAACTTAAAGGAAAAGTGCTATAAATGAACTTATATATGGAACTAAGGATTTTCACAATATCCTCTACCCCCTTGCAATAATAAAATATCTTTCAATGATAATGTACAAGTCAAGGAAGTTAGAAGATAGGCCTGCTTTCTTGGAAACATTACTTAAGGATCTGATTTTTAAAAAATGTCTTTAGAAACTTACACTTTTCATTTAATTCAGTAAAAACTTTCTCCAAGGCAAAACATGAAAAACGGGAGGGGAAAAACCATTGTTCATTAAAGTAATGGCCAAGAATCCTGTGGCATTCCCATCCCAGAGCTGAGATAGATGTTTCTGGCTTCAAGAATAGAAATGTAAAATTGGTTTAGATTAAAGAGAAATATATTGACTACAATAGCAGAAATGCAGAGGTTGGTTAGATTTCAGGACTATTTCATCCAGTAGATCCCCCCTCCACCCATTACTGCTTCGCCATTTAACACATCAACTGTTCCCCAAAGCTGACTATTGCTGGTTATGACAGAGGTTCATCCTCTAGTTCACATTCAGAAACACTTGATTTCTGAAAGCCTGATTAAGTTAGGCTCAAGTAAAATCATTGTAGACTGGGGGCTTTCCAATTTTGTTTTATTACTGCCCCTGGGCAAGGGCTTTTTTAGATAATCTTTTTTCTTAATTACCCCTTCCCTGTCTCGTGTGTGTGTGTGTGTGTGTGTGTGTGTGTGTGTGTGTGTGTGTGTGTGTGTGTCTGTCTGTCTGTCTGTCTGTCTGTCTAAATTTGTAAGTCTGTGCACCATGCGCATGCCTTGTGCCTGTGGAGGTCAGAAAGAGGGCTTAGATCCCTTGGAACTAGGATTAAAGATAGCTGAAAGCCACCACCTGCACACTGGGAATCAAATCCAGGTCCTCTGAGAAGAGCAGCCAGCGCTCTTTAAATGCATAGCCACTCCTCCAGCCTTTCCCTGTGAATTTTTAATACATAGATATATTATATATATATGGGTGTGTATTGTATTCTTTACACATAAGGTGTTTTTGTTTTGTTTTGCTTTTTGTTTTTTGTTTTGTTTTGTTTTTTGTTTTTTATTTTTGTTTTTAGAATGCATGACCTATACTCAGTTCAAGTTCATTCCTAGAGCCCTGGATGGCAAGAGCTTTCCTTGAAGTTCTTGGCCACATGAAAGGTATAGGCACAGCAAAAATAAGGGTTCTGTTAGAATAGAGAGAGGTAAGGAGTGAGCCTGTGTTGGGTAGGTCAGCAGTAGAGGCCGTTAGTCAAGCTGAGAACAAAAGATCATTTATTCATGAGCAGGCAAGTTACAAAATCAATTTAAATCGGGATTGTTTATTTTAACTACAATACTCTATCCCCTAGAGTAGGTGTCCATTTTTAATTCACTCTGGAAGTAATTGCAAAATGGAGGATCTTGAGTACTAGTGTTATACTGTTACAGTTCAAATCCTTTGGTTTTAATTGGCTGTGTAACCTTTTGACCTTTTGGATTATGTACTTCATTATAAGATATAATCCATTTATTTCTGGGACGTAGGATTAAAAAAATAACGACAAATAAAACATTTAAATCACCAAAAAGGCCATCTTTGTAAACAAGAGGTTCCTCTTACTATTTTACTTCCTTTTCTGAAAATACTAACTGAAGCCTTAGGGATTCATAGTCCACAAATATAAAATTATTAATTTAAAATGCATCAACTCCATCACAATAGTTATTTTCTGCAAAATAGGTATTACAGCTGGCAAAAGTAGGAACTATCACAACCACAAATCATACTCAGATATGGGGCAACTCTTTATACACTATAATTTACATGAAAGACTGAAGGGCAGTCATAATCTAAGTGGTTTGTTATATAAGTGTTGGTTTGATATTAAGTACAAAGAAAATTTATAGGTGACTATGACCAGAAGGGGCCGGCTTCTGTAAAAGTTAAAGGTAAGATGTTCATACATGTTCTCTTTATTTTCTAGGATAAATCTATTAGTACAAGTTTGCCTGTCTTAGATTTAATAGATGCCATTGCACCAAATGCAGTTCGTCAAGAAATGATCAAGAGAGAAAACTTGACTGATGAGGACAAACTGAACAATGCTAAGTAAGCCTTTCTGGTTTATATTAGACAGAGTGATTTCTCATCACCTAAAATACTCACAGGGACATTTTTACCTTTTAAAGTACAATTTGTGTGGGGAATATGGTCTTTTTTTTTTTTTTTTAAATCACATCCCTAACCTTTTTGTAATGTTGATCTCATAACAAGATTCTTCTGTTAAAATGTATTAATTTAAAATATGGTAGATAACAAGTCCCAAGGTGTCTTTCTTGTCTTTTCAAGATATGCCATTTCAGTTGCTCGGAAGATTGGTGCCCGGATATATGCATTACCTGATGACCTCGTAGAAGTAAAACCAAAGATGGTTATGACAGTGTTTGCCTGCTTAATGGGGAAAGGACTGAACAGAATAAAATAATGAAACACTTACTGTGATCTGCCACATCAAACACATCAAATGTCTCAGTTTACAGAATTTTGAAATGTAGTGGGTATAAAATCAGAGTATCTGTATACTCAAAATAGTTCTGTATTCAGTAATGAATAATATCTTGTCCCTACTAGTTAGAATTTGTCAATTTTTTGGATAACACAATTTCTTTAACAATCAATACCAATACAGGGATATCTTACCAAGCTGCTATTTCATAATTAAATTATTTTATTTCCTAAAGGTCTTACCAAAGTAAGGCTAATCATTCTTTTTCATAGCTCAAAAATGATCTGTACAAAGTTTTGTCAGGTCCTGCTCTTGAATGTGTTTGGATTTTTTTTTTTGAAGTGTTATTTAATTTTGATGGCAAATATACCTAAAGTCATAATCAAACCTAATCCTTTTGTTTTTCCCCTATGTTAAGTGATACAAAACTGTAACCTTTCTGTAAATTTCTATCTCATAGACAAATTTAAAGGGATAAGTATAATTCATCAACATTAAATGTTTTTACCATGAAAACTAAGTCTCAAATAAACCCCAAGGTCCACTCAAGCTGTAGGAACTTTTTACTTAAAGTTTGATTGTAACTGCTTTGCTGCTTTACAAGTCCTAGTTTGACAATACAGCTTTATTTCTGACATGTAGTATAATACTATGTGTTGGTAAGATGTTATATATATGTATCCCTAAATCATCTGAGTTACCCAGATTTTCTTAAATGATCTGTATTAAGTGGTCTGCCGGCCGTTTAGTATTTATTTTGCCCCTACAATGTGTGTGACACTTTTCAGCTTGAGGATATCTGATATGTGAAGATCTTTTACAAATATTAATTATGAATGTGCATATAGTTATTTTCCCCTGGTTCCTTTCAAGTATTTGCAGCCAAACATTGGATAGAACATCCCAGCTGACATTAATACTATGCTGTCAGCCTCACATTACGTTTGCTAGTTTGATTACTAGTTGTAATGAAGCCTACATAATTAGAATATGCCCACCAAATAACTTTAGTAGAAAACATTTAAAAGCTAACATCCATCATAGTTTCATGTCTTTCACAGCCCTGTATAAACTGGAAATGTTTAAGGTTTGTGTTCCTTAGGAAGAGTTAGAACTTGAAACCTTTTTTCCCACAGAATTTTTAGCAGTAGAGAAATTCTGTGACTCATAGTTGAAGCCAGAAATATGCTCCCCTCATCTTCCGCTTTAGTGCCAGTGAGCAATCCTACCAGTGAGCAATCCTACCATGCAACAAGAGTGCTTCACTTATCTCTGTGTGAACGAGTCCATCCTCCTCTCCCACTAATGAAAACATACATGTTAAGAGTGAGAGTGTCTGTGTGTGTAGGGTAGACTTTTTAAAATGAAATGCTAACAGGTGGAGTTCTGAAATATATTCTTCTACAAGAGATTTGCCTTTTATATTTTGATGATTGTTTTCTTATATGAAGATGTAAGTATGCTTTTGTTCTTTTTTCTGAGATTATTTGAATTATGCCTCTCTGATTTTTTTCATCATCATATTTACTAAGATAATCTGATTTACATGAAACTTAGCACTTTAAGGTGTTCTTTTTCTCACAAAATATATTTAATAAAATGCTGTGTATGTAGAATGTGTAACTGTGTATTTATTTCATTTCAAGAAATATATAGAGCTTTCCATATTGGTCTGTTATAAACCTATTTCCCACAAAAGAATACAACACCTAAATGGAGTAATACAAAAACTTTATTTCTTTGCAAGTGAGGTTTTTGTCTTTCATATAAGAAAATAATTTAGGGGCTGGAGATTCAACAGTTAAGAGCACTGGCTGCTCTTCCAGAGACACAGTTCAATTCCCAACACTCACATGGTAGTTCACAACCGTCTGGGGATTTGGCATCTTTAAACATAGACACACATGCAGGCAAAACACCAATACACATAAAGTAAAAATAATTTTTAGAAGAAAATTTTAAATTCTAAAATTTTAATGTGTGGATGTGTGTATATGTGTATGCATGCATTTGCAGGTAGAGGTCAGAAGACAAATTTGTGGAGTTGTTTTTTTTTTCCCTTACACCTGTATGGGAATTAAACTCAGGTTTTCACCAGGAGGTGGTAGCACACACCTTTAATCCCAGCACTTGAGAGGCAGAGGCAGGCAGATCTAGAAGGCAGCCTGGTCTACGGAGCAAGTTCCAGGACAACCAGGGCTACACTGAGAAATCTAGTCTTGACAAATCAACAAAAACTCAGGTCTTCCAAGTGCACAAATAGCACTTTTATCTCTAGAGCCATCTCACTGGCCCTCATATGAAGAATTTTATTAGAGGCTAACTACATGATTATTACAAATTTAGTTTGTGATGAAATAATTTGAATGAATAAAATCCATTAGCACACATTTATTGTCACCAGTGTTCAAATACTACATGAGATTCTTGGGATTCAGCTAAGAAAATTATAGACAGTATTTCAACCTAAATCTCAGTAGAGACAAGCCAGCCAATAAAGAAATAGCAAGAAATAAAGCCAGAAACAAAGGGTGATAGTGGAAGGAAGAAGCAGGAGAATGTGCTGCAGTCTGATTTGGGAGCAGAGGGAGATTATTTGGGTAGTTGGGCAAGGTCTGTCTAAGGATGTCTTGTTTTGAGCTATGTTCAGCATGGGGAAAATACACATGAAGAGCTAGTAGCTGTGGCCCTAGAGTAGTAAAGGAGGAGGACATTGAAAAATATAAATAGGCTTTACCTTACTTGTAGGACTAGATCTAAATCAGAATTTCTTTCCCTCTGAAGTTGTGATTGCTTTTTTTTTAATACCTGTGACTTGTGGGAGTTGCTTAGAGTAATATGCTACTTCAGAGTTTTGCATGCGTCATAACTTTGCCACTGCTCTTCATATCATATATGCAAAATATGTAAATGGTGTTATAATGATCCAATTTCTGCTAGCCAAGCAGTTTACTAGAGGAGAAAGAGGATAGTCTGTAGCTGAGACAATCCAAAACCCTGAAGTGTATTATTAGAACACCAGATTGCCTGAAGTAGACTCTATAATGCCTTAAAAGGTCTCCTAAGATTACAACCAAAGAGGTTTGAATTCTCTCAAATCTTTGAAATTAATCCAGACCCCATAGGACTTCTTTGGATAAAGAATCTGTGTATAGGGCTAAGAGTCATTTGAATTCTTTAACCTCAAATACTGAAATTTTGGATAGGTCGGTTAGAGTTCTGCTACTGGCTAAACATTTTTACTGATTGATAAAATGCAAGTAAAGATGCAGAAGTAAGCACATTCCCATTTCCACTGGCCTCACCTTGAGCCTCTTTCACCCAATACATAAACTTGGAACTGTATTAAACATTACAGAATAATGGGGGAGATTATCTAGAAACAAAACCCAGAATGACTAGAGACTATTTTAAAGTAAACACATAAAAAATGTTTGAAAAGATGTCTTTTGCACCTTTTAGAGAGAAAGTTGATTTAAAAAATTCAGGAATTAAAATGTTGGTAGAGAAAGTAATGGGACAAAGCAGCCTCAATGGGAGCAAAACTATTCCCCTCAAATTTAAGGTACTTCTGAGTAAATTTATTCATTGTCTTAAAAATCTAAACGTTAAACACAGAGTTCAGATTTCTCCCCAGTGTTGACTGTAGGAAGCAATAAGGTGTGGTGATATTTTGTTATGATTTAACAAATAGCTTGCCTAAGGATCAGAGTGCAAGCTAGCCACACTAGTTAGCCATAGAGCCCAGGCAGTGGTGGCCACACCTTTAATCCAGCACTAGGGAGTTGTTAGATGGATCTCTGTTAGTTCAAGGCCACCCTAGGCTATACTAGATTGAATTTGTATAAAAGAGAAACAGCTTAAACACAAAGGTGATCCCAGCACTAGGTAGGTGAAGACAGGAAGGGATACGGTTCAGTAGAGAGAGGAGCTAAGGGCAGTCTGAGGAGCTGTGCAGTCTGTCTGAGCAGTCAGAGGATGCAGTCTGAGGACAGGATCGCTGCTTTGGTCTGAGCATTAGTGGAGATAAGAAGAACTCTAGTGGCTGACTGCTTTGCTTCTCTGATCTTCCAGTTTTCACCTCCTGATAGCTGACTCTGAGGTTTTATTATTAATACCAATTAGAATTCGTGCTGTAATAGAATTACCAAAAAGATTTAATTTCAAGTCACACTTGCTATGTGTCAGTTAGCTGATGTGTGAATAACAAATGTTTTAAAATTAGATGTGACCAATGTAATAAATTCACTGAAAGGACTGTATGAAGAGTTAAGTCCTAAACTGTTCGTATGCAATGGTTACAGGTAACCTTTGAATTACATGTGAATATATACGCATGTATATGTATATATAATGACTTTAGAAATATCAGGAATGTTAGGCCATATTAGATCACAAGAAAAAAAATTAACGATCCTTTAGAACAAGGGGAACGTAAACACAAACTCCCAAATCTGTGTTATTTGGCCAGGCTCTAGGACAATTCTGTATGTGATTTCAACAAAACGTTCACACCTCAAAATCTCAATAGCACCTTGCCGCGTATTTACTTTCTGTGTAGCAGCAGCTGCAGCAGCTACAAGCAGCGGCAAATTACCACAAATCCTCAACCTAGGGATGGAGGCCCGGAGGTTGCCATACACCAGCTTGGGTGCTCCAAGATGCTGCTGGGGCGCTAGGCGACTGACGAGGGAGGCGCACCGGGCCTGGAGCCCCGCCCTCAGGCCCCGCCCCCGACAGGCCCCGCCCCCTGGAGCCCCGCTCCGCCGCAGGCTCCGCCCCGGTGTCGTCGCCTCCGCGGGGCTGAGGATGACGTGAGGAGAGAGCTGGGAGCCTCTGCCTCCTGCGGGTGCAGCTGGGCCAGCGGTTCCCAGAGCCCCGGAGCCTGACGTGCTGCGAAGCGCACGGCCGAGCTCCTCCGCCGGCGGCCCCCTCTCTCGCTCCCCGGCCGGGCCGCCCCCTGCGCGGCCCCTTGCGGCTCCTGGCACGGCCCCGCGCTCGGCTGCCGCCCTGGCGCGCTCCACTCTGTCGTCCCCGGACGGGCGCGGACCAGCTCGACCGGGACGCCGGCGGCTGGGCAGAGGGCGCTGGCCCCGGGGTCGCGCCGGCGCGGCCACCAACCTGGGGCTGTCAGTGGAGGGCGAGTGCTGGTTCCGGGGCGAGGCGACGCCCTTCGGGGCCAACGGGCCGCACGCAGATGTGGCCGGGGCAACGACCCACCCGTTTTCCAGCTCAGGATCGGGGCTGGGGTCGGGGTCGGCGCCCATGGGGGCCCCGCCTCCGTCCCCGGGCCTGCCCCCGTCGTGGGCCGCGATGATGGCGGCCCTGTACCCGAGCACGGACCTCTCGGGCGTCTCCTCCTCCTCCTTGCCTTCCTCCCCATCCTCCTCGTCGCCCAACGAAGTGATGGCGCTGAAGGATGTGCGGGAGGTGAAGGAGGAGAACACCCTGAATGAGAAGCTTTTCTTGCTGGCGTGCGACAAGGGTGAGAGCTGGCCCCCTTTCTCCGCTTCTGGACACCCTAAGACCTACTCCCTGGGTCCTGCCCCTGCCTCCACTTACTCCAGACACTCCTGCTTTTTCTTGGGGTGGCTATTCCCTACCTGTGAGGCCCGCAGGACTTCTGCCTGATTGAGCGGGAGCCAGCAGGCAGGCAGGGCGGGGGCGGTGGACTCCTGCAGGTGGGATGTTTGGGTGGCTAGTTGGGAGCCCTGACCCCAGAGTTGCTTCACTTCTGCAGGCTGGAGTCCTTCCTTTGCGGGCCAGAGGCTACTTTGGAACCTTCTAATCCGAAAAAAAATCTGTTGATTCCCCTTATGGTTTCTCCTATTTATGGGCTGTCACCTTGCATTTTTGTGTTGTTTTGTTTTTAAAAACTTCTATTTAGCATCAGCTGCCAGTGCCTTGGTCTGTTACACTTGAGTGGAATTAGCTATTCCATTATCCTAAGCAGAAATAACATGAAGCAAGGACAAGACAGGAAGAATCCTTCCCTAGTTGCCAAAACTTTCCCTAAACTCCTTTGAGTGTTGAGATTATATATATATATATATATTAGAAATTAGGAAGAAAGGTTTACTGATTCACAGAGTTGGTGGGAGGCAAAAGAAGTAAAAAAAAATAACTATAGGCAAAATATGTGGAAAATACTGTCTTTGAAACTAGAAATGGATCACTTTATGGCCACATGAAAGAATAAGCATGTTTTCAAGTGATCCGTCGTAATGAAGGAATGGGAACGTGGTGCTTTTATCTCCTAACTGAACAAGTACTGAAAAAATTGCCATTCCTCAATTCAGCAGTTTGTTGTGCAGAGACTGTGTTCATTTAGGAAGACTTCATTAGAACCTTGCAGACTTCTGAAAGCTAATTCTAGAGGCAGCTTACACTATGGGAATACTAGTTACAGATTGTGTGTGTGTGTGTGTGTGTGTGTGTGTGTGTGTGTGTGTGTGTTTATACAGTCTCCCTAACCTTTTAAAGCATTTGAAATAGCTTTTCGGTTTTTTTATACAACTCATTTGATCTTAGCTTAGCCAAAAAGCAATTGTTTATGCAACTTTTTGAAAACACATTGGCATATAAACAAAGTCCATTTATGTCTGTTGCCAACTCACTTTGTTTTATGTGATTATTAAATAATAAACATTTTGTTAAAGTCTATCATAGACACCTTTGACTAGTCTTAGAATTATGAAGAAATTAAAAATGTATGTCTATAATGTCACAAAACTATGATCTGCAGATTATATAAGTTACTTAATTTTCCCCAAGTGCTGTGCTTGAGTTTTTTTCCTCATAAATTATCTAAAAGCAGAAAGGAACTGATTGTGTTGTTCTACAGCAGTCAAGAACCACTGCTTTTATTCTAGTTAACTGTGTGATTATTTCAAGGTATATTAGTAAAGGGGATTTGATATTCTTGTTGAACTGAGGACAGAGGAGTGTTGTAATGAAATATGATTGAAGCAGGTATTTTTGTGATACATGTATTTAGAGTGGTTGCATGAGATTTCTCAAAAGGAGTTTTAATTATAAAAGTTTTATAAACTGTCCATAGTACATGTTGAAACAGCTTGAAATATCTCACGTCTGTCTGTCAGTCTATCTGTGAAAGCTGGGACCTGATATATATTTATATTTATAGCATCATGAAAATCCTTGGAGAGATATAAAGTAGAACAGGCATTATTAATGTGCTAGGATGAAGAAACTATATACTTCTTGCATAAAATTTTAATTTGTATTTGCTGTAAAGATGAATTGAAGTTAGAGGAACACATATTGTTTGTGTTCATAATCTGTAATGTTGTAAAAACTTTTTTAATAAGGTCCAAATCAAATATAAAAGTGGGAATTTTCTTAAAATAGCTATAACTCCCACTTTTACAATGAAATCCTCATCAGCACAAATGGCAAACATTTACTAACATAGCTTTGGAATGGAGTGCTCATGCATTTTGTAAGCCATTTCATCTAAAGGGACTGGGAATATTGCTCAGTGGTAAAGCACTTGCCTAGCATAAACAGGGCCCTAGGTTCAATCACCAATACTACTACTTAAAATATAATATATACATATATTTTTCCAGGTAATTTAATCCCCACAACTTCATATATCATATCTGTTGTTTGTCAAGTCACCACAATGCTTTATTGATCTAATTGTAGTTGAAGGAATTAAAATAATTTGTTAGAAAAGGCACCTGTATTTGGATGTACTAGTTGGGAAATAACTCTTATCTGTATGGGTAGCTTGTATACTTTGTTTTCTATGTAAAGGTAAAAATCAAGCATGGTATCCTTAATAGGTCCAGAAAAAATCAACTGGTTTCATTTAATAACCCTTTCTACATGTATGAAGTATTCATAGTGTAGTCTTCTAAAATAAAAGGTAGTTCTTTCTAAAAGAAAAATTGCAAGTGGTAGGTGGTTTTATGTATTCTAGTAAATGAATGGTTATTTAAAATGAGTGCTGTGCAGAGTAAGTAGTAAACAAAATTAGGAAAGGGGAAGATTTTATGGTTTGGAATAACTAGCTTTTATGTAAATTAATCTAGGCCATTGCCAATCCAAGTATTAGCCAATTAGTAATGGCTCTTATGGCTCATTCAAATAGACTAGAATCATCTCAAAGCTAACCCCTTAATCCTTTTGGTTGTTGTTGTTGTCCTTTTGGTTTTCTCTGTGTAGCCCTGGCTGTCCTGGAACTCACTGTGTAGACCAGGCTGCCCTCAAACTCAAGAGATCCACCTGCCTCTGCCTCCCAAGTGCTGGAACTAAAGGCGTGCACCACCACTGCTTTGCAACTTTTTTCTTATTAAAAATAAGAAAAAATGAATTGAAAATTTCTGTTCCATTGATATAGAGCACAGTTTTTTATATATAAATCTACAAAATTAAATTCTTAGAAAGTTTATATGTGAATTCTTTGTAGACAGAGAGACTGAAATTCAGATACAAAAGCTAACTGAACAAGAGCTGATAATAAATGTCTTGTCTTATTAATATTAAATAGACCACCATGTCTTTCTTTTTTCCTCTTTTATTGAGAGTTAGTGTGGTAATTTTTTAACTCCTGGAAGCTTATGATATCCCTCAAGCCTCTTGCCTGCTGAAAGGGTAAATACTTTTTTCAGAAACACCTAAATTTAAATGTCTTTTTCTCATTTAAAGTGTTACGTAGGTGACAAGTTTGTGTTTGGTCCACATTCTACACTTAGGAAACAGTGAATGAAAATCAAGGCTTTAAATGTGTTTATTAAGTTTCTGATCCCTAAAAAGGAATGGCTGGAAATGATGAACACAGTATTTCAAGACTGGCCATATAGCCCAGGCTGGCCTGAAACTTGAGAGCTTAAAGATGTCCCAAAGGCACCCTGCCAGCCAGGGAGCAGGCAACAAAGTGGACTCCCCTGTTGTCAAGTGGCCCAGCCTCAGAGACTTTTGTCTCACATATTCCTTTCAACATGAGTTGTCAGAGACTTGCAGCTTTAATAGGAAAGAAAAAGACCTAGCGTTAACCTGTGAGCATCTGCAAACTCCAAACCGAGGCTCATACAATCCCGCAGCATCTCCCACTCAGAGAAGGAAAACTGTGTTCTCAAGGAAGGAGAAGGGGGGAAGCCCAAAGCTTTGCGAGACCCCCAAAGCCAGTTAACGCTGGTGGCTCTATCTTTCATGCTTCTGAAGGGGGACTCTGACCCTCAGATTCTCTGGAAAGCAGCATAGTCACATTCTTAGCCCAGGAAAGCATATCCCAGACAGTGCTTCCGGTTTCACAAAGCAGGACAGTTTTAGTCCATTAGGTATCAGCACAATAAAAACAGAGGATGCGACTTCCAACAATCAGAACTCAAGGTTAAGCTTTTCCCAGCACAAGACTTCCACAATCAATGACTCCATAGTCATTGCGGCTTATTCGAAGTGGAATGCCTATCTCTAATTCAAGGTGATGATTTTAAAGGTTCTGTCACACATGACTTTAGCGACAGCAGTTTAAGTGTTAGTGATGAGAACACATGTCCCGAACTTCTGGGCTCCTCTGGTAGCCAGACAACCTCTGGAGCATATGTAACAACATCTGTAACTCCAATGAGTAGTCGCATATCAAAAATTAGATTTAAAGGGAGCCAAGCGCTTTCTTCTTAGTGTTTCCACACCCAAAGACAGTGGTTTTAGCTCCCTTACCTGGGATAAGTCAGAAGATCCCCCTCTCTGACCAAGAGGACTCTTTGCAAGAGCTGCTTCAGAAGCACAGGGGACTCCCAGAGTGGGGGACCTGATAAGAAAGCCAAAGCATCTTGGAAGACAGAGAAGACTGTCCACCCTCTGGGAGCAACAGTCAGAGACAGAAGATGAAGAGCAGATGGTCCATCCCAACTCTGAAACAGGAGTGGACGCTGCTTCAAGCATCTCCGGGGGTCATCGAGGCTTTGGTATGAAGATCTGGGATTCTACTCTAAGCTTTAAGAACTTATCAAATCCCCAGTCTTACAGTTAGTTCACGAGCTCTTTGTAAAAGCAAAAGGAAGCGATTCCCGCAGAAGGATGACCAGGGTCTTTGAGGAAAGGGACGAGGGGACTATAGACAGATTGCAGTGTGTTCTGGCCGGACTGATTGGCAAGGCATAGAGCAGCTGGATATCTTAACAGAATTACAATATAGAAATTTGAAGCATGTCTTAGCTATGGTTTTAGATTCCTTGGCTTCAGAGAGTTTATACAGTGCTTGGAACGGCAGCAGAAACTGGCGTGAAATTGTGGCTCAGGATAAAAGGGCAAACGACAGGAGGAAACTTTATATCATTCAGCTGACGGCAGATGCAGAGGTGGCTGTGTTACATGTTCAGGACTCGGCTCCAGCTCCTAAGTCGCTCAGCCTTAAGATCATTGTAGGCACAGGCACCGGCTCCCACTTCTCAGAAGGAGCAACCACCCACTCTGTCTCCTTGGGGAGATGTTTTGACACCTGTAGCAAGTTCT